CAGTCCCACAGCCACTCAAACCCAACTAAGTAAACACAGAGACTTATATTGCTTACAAACTGTATGGCCGTGGCAGGCTTCTTGCTATCTGTTCTTATATCTTAAATTAACCCATTTCTATAAATCTATACCTTGCTACGTGGCTCGTGGCTTACTGGCATCTTCACATGCAGCTTGTCAGGGTGGCGGCTGGCAGTGTCTCCTACTCAGCCTTCCACTTCGCAGAATTCTTCTCCTCCTTGTCCCGCCTATACTTCCTCCTGCCTGACAACTGGCCAATCAGAGCAACACATTTGCCATATAGAACATCCCACAGCAGGGGTGGGCCTCTTGCTGTGCAGTCCTGACTCGCTGTGTAGACCAGGCTGGTCTTGATCTTTTGTCATCCTACCTCTGCCTCCCAAGTGCTGGGAGGCACCGCCTTGTGTGCCGCTCCTCTGGTGGCCTTGAGAACCAGTGGGCGGCTGTGACAGAAACTGGGCTCTTTGTATTCCATAGCTACGCCTGTTTGGCTGGGTATTCGGAACAAATGGTTTTTAGAACATGAGCTATTCTTTCCCAATGGGACCGTGTCGATCATCACCTTGCCCCTTGGAGATGGCAGAAGGATGGAGAGCCTGATTTGTTTCAGTGGCGTCTGCCACTGGAGGGAGTGGGGCACATGGGTGGTCCCAGTCTGGGCTGAGGCCAAGAGCAGGTGGGCTCTACTGCAGAGATCACTGCGGTCCCCGTGGCTGGCAACGTCCTCTTGTGTTGCAGGAGGGCCGAGAGCCAGACTACTCGGAGTACAAGGAGTTCAGGCTGACAGTGGAGAACATCGGCTACCAGATGCTCATGAAGATGGGCTGGAAGGAGGGCGAGGGCCTGGGCACCGAGGGCCAGGGCATCAAGAACCCAGTGAACAAGTGAGTACTGCCGGGGGCACCCACATGGACACGTGAGGTTCCAGAAACCAGTGAGCACTGTCCGAGGTGTGAAGCCTTGCTCCCCTCAGTGCTGCGTGATCTCAAGGCTGGATGACCCAAGTTGGGGTTGATCTAGGACCTCTCTCCCGGGGCTGCTGAGCCCGCCACTAGTCCCCACCCCACGCCCTGCAGTCCTCTCCTATCTGTCCCATCCTGGGCCCTGCTTACGACGGCCGGCTTTCCACAGGGGTGCCACCACAGTCGATGGAGCCGGCTTTGGAATTGACCGGCCAGCCGAGCTCTCCAAGGAAGACGATGAGTATGAGGCCTTCCGCAAGAGGATGATGCTAGCCTACCGGTTCCGGCCCAACCCCCTGGTGTGTGCCTCCCTGACTCCCTGCTGGCGGTGGGGAGGTGACAGCTAAGCCCCTGCCTCAGCCCCCAAAGAGTATCAGCTCTGCTACCTGGAAGGTCCTGCGTTTCCCACTAACACTATTCCCTTTGATCTCTGGTCTCCCGCAGAACAACCCCAGGCGGCCCTACTACTGAGTACTCTGGAAACACGAAGTCTTCTTTCAGATCGGCCGTCCTGGGACTGTGAAATGTTCTGGATACATCTCCGGCCACCCTGTCGTCACAAGTGTTGTGCTGTGTATTAAAGTCCTAATGCTCTCCTGCCCAGCATCTTGTTCGTGCTGTTGCCAGGATCCCCTTTTGTCCTTCCTCCAGACCCAGTGTGGTCCCAGTGTGCCTCATTGTTAAATTCCTAGGAAACGGAAGCCAGTCAGTTGGTGAGAACGTTACCCAGGCAGGAGAAAAAGAGGACTCCAAACACTTCGTAATATGTGCATGGGCTGGTGTGTCCTGGGCACAGCTGGCATGGGGATGGTGCCTGTTTGGAGGCAGAGACCTGGGAGAGGGGCTCTCTCATACTGGAAGCTACTGCAAGGGTCTTTGAAAAACCAGAACTAGTGCTCACTGCGGAACCACAAGGCCTTCACATGAGCAAGAGCCCAACTGGAGGCGGTGATGAACAGGTGGCCTTCTAGTATCGGGCTCTTGGGTTCCACCCCATTTGTGCTGCCCCTTGATCCTGCCCACAGCTCTCCAGCTGTTCAGAGTCCTCATCACAGCTGCCCTAATATCCCCAGTGCACCTCTCCAACCTCCCTTTCCACCATATCCTGCCTGGCTGAGCCTTCCTGCTGCCCAGTACCTCTTGTGCCTGTGATGACTGCCATGAGGAGTGTGTTCCCACTTCCTATGCCTCAGGACCTGTGGGAATGATACCCCAAAGCTTCACACCCAGACATGGGTTCACATTTGCCTGTGGTCACTTCAAGAAAACTCTCAAATTCAAGTTCAGTGATGGTCATGCTGTATCCAGGTAGACATGGCTCCCCTTTCAGTAAGCATCCGTTCTCTGCATAGCCTTGGCTGGCCTGGAACTTGCTCTGTAGACCAGGTTGGCCTGGAACTTGCAGATCCACCTACCTCTGCCTCCTGAATGTTGGGATTAAAGGCCTGTGCCACCACTGCCTGGCACCAAGATGCTCTCTTGATCCACAGGTTGTGGGTGCCAGTAGTCCGGAAATATGAGGGACTTAACAGTCCCTATTGCCAGATGGAGGTGGCACATGCCTTTAATCCCAGCACTTGGAAGGCAAAGGCGGGCAGATCTCTGAATTGGAGGCCAGCCTGGTCTACAGATAGAGTTCCAGGACAGCTAGGGCTACACAGAAAAACTGTCTCAATAAAAATAGGAAGTGCAAACTTGTACAACCATCATGGGAATCAGTATGGTGGTTTCTCAGAAAATTGGGAATCCATCTACAAGACCCAGCCATACCATTCTTGGGCATATCCTCAAGGAATGCTCAATCATACCACAAGGATACAAGTTCAACTATGTTCATAGCATTATTCGTAATAGCCAGAACCTGGAAACAAACTAGTAGAAAATGCCATCCTGAGTGAGGTAACTCAGACTCAGAAGGACAAACACAGTATGTACTCACTCACAAGTGGACACTAGATATAAAGCAAAGAACAATCAGATTGCAGCCCACAGATCCAGGGAGACTACCCAGCAGTGTACCAAATGACTGTGGCAGCTTATAAGTTTTGATTTTGCCCAACCACTGGGCAAGCTTTAGTGAAACATTTCACTATTAGGATAAGAATTTGTACTGTATCAAGCTAATGAAAGAAAATGCTGGCTGTACTTTCAGAAGGGGAGGCTAAAATCTTTTTAGATTATGGATTAGCCTATAGAAACATGTCTGCCATAAATCAAACAGTGAAGGGGAAGATGAATAGGGATCTCACTTATACAAGTTAAGTAAAACATAACTCTCTGAACAGATGAAGATAGGTTTCTTCTGTACCCCCGGAATCTAATCAATATATGTATAATTCAGCTATTATTTGGCTTAAAAGGGCTAATTGGGAAATATTATTTTTACTATTTTCTACAGAGAAAATATTTTCCACTTTCAAATAACCCTGAACTTTTGAATTATAACCAGTTTTTATGATCAAAAGAAAAACCAAAAAAAGAAAAATAAGTGTTCCCACCCCTCCCCAGTGTTGCACAAATCCTAATTGGTTTTATAATAACGCAGAGCCAGATATAGGGGTCAATGCTGAAAGGTCAGAGGAAACAAGCCACAGCCACTTCTCACCTCGCCAGCTCGTCAGCCGAAAAGGGAAGATCCCGTCTCCAGGAATCCTCAGACTGAGTCCCCCTCAGTCCTTAGCCAAAAGGACGCCAGATCCTGTCACCTCCTACCTTATATTCCTTTCTCCACCCAGCCATATCACTTCCTGTCTCAACCTTCTTAGTGCTGGGATTAAAGGTGTGTGACTCCCAAGTACTGAGATTAAAGGTGTGTGCCACCAAAAAAAAAAAAAAAATCAAAAAATAAAGTGGGGAGGGGTCCCTTTTAGTTGGGAGATATCTCAGCGAACAGTAGTTGATGCTCAAGCATGAAGACCTGAGTTATAATGCTCGTGTCCATGCAGAAAGTCAGATATGGTTCCACTGCAGGGAACAGAAACAGAATGGAAACTGAACACCAGCTTAGCTGAAATTTCAACTCCAAGTTAAACCCTGTCTCAAAGGAGGAGAGTGATAGAGCAGGACACCCAGCAGCACACATATGCACATACATAGAGCCACAGAGCCAGCCAATGAATAGCTCAGTGGGTAAAGGTGCCAGCTGCCAAGCCTAACAACATGAGTGCAGTCTCGGGGGCCCACAGAATAGGCAAGATGTCCTCTGATCTTCGCCCACAGAAGTGTGGCACATGTTTGCCATTCCTACATTATGCACACAAAAAATTAATTTTAAAAAGCCCAGCACAGTTATCTATTCACTCCCAACAGTCAGGAGGCAGAGGCAGGTGGATCTTAAAGCCGGGCCATTCAGAGTTAGTTGGTGAGACCCTTTCTCAAAAACAAAAACCTGAGCTGGGGCCATGGCTGCTCTTTCAGAGGGTCCAGGTCCCAGCACCCACACAGAGGGTCACAGACATTGTTAACTTTAGTCCCAAGGGATTAGATATCCTCTTCTGGCCTCCTTCATGGCTACTAAAGGCACATGGCGCAAAGACATACATGGAGACAAAATACCCATGCACAAAATTTTTAAATTTGAAACCTTCAAAGTGTCCCTGAGACTAAAAAGAAGGCTCAGTGGTTAAGATTTGCTGCATGAGGATAAAAATTCAGACTCCAGAACACAACTTGATGCTCCCAGTACACCTGTGACAGCTCCTGGGGCATGGAGGAGGATGATACTTGCTGATTTCCAGCCTAGGCAAGAAAAATAAGCCCCATGTTCATTGAGAGACCTTTGCCTCAAAGGAATAGATGGGGAGTTATGCCCACATGCACACAGCCACATCTTTAATTAAAAAGGGTTCCTCTCCATGTTCAGGTGGTAATATCAGTGTGTCAGGTCTAAGGCGGCAGAGGAACGGAAAGGAGGCAGGGTGATCCACACCTGTAAGAGCTTTCTGTGCAACATTAGGACCTAGTTCAAATTCCCACTATTCATGTAAAAGGCCAGGTGTTGTCGAAGGTGGCGACAGGATTGTTGGCTGGCTGCCAGCCTAGCCCCAGTTGGGTGAGACACCCTGTCTCAAAATAATAAGGAAGAAAGTGATTAGGACACCCCACTGATCTGCTCCTTCGGTCTTTGCACTCAAACACACATACAATCCATCTCCCCACTATCTCCCTCACCCAAATCCAAAGAGGAAGACCTGTTTCGTGGAGCATGGCACAAGAGAACCAAGAGTTGGCGACTGTGAGAGGCCGAGGCGGAGCTAAGGGTAGGGCTATGAGGTGTGACTGTGGCGAGGGTCTTGGCTGCAGCTGTGTAGCGGTTGTGAGTGGGGCTGGGGACAGGGCTGTGCAGGGCGTTGTTCCAGTCCTGCAGCCGCCGTGAGTAGGACCTGGGGGCGCAGCCACAGCCGAGTAGAAGCTGTGAAGGGGGCGGGGGAAGCGTGGCTCTTGTGGACTAGGGTAAGGGGCGTGGCTACAGTTCAGCCGCGCAGACTAGGATCTGGGGGCGGAGCTAGACACTGAGCCGAGGTAAGGGGCGTGGCTACGGCTGTGCAATCGATGATTGGACTGAGGGGGAGGTGGTGGGCGGAGTCTCGTGGGGGCGGGGCCCCGCATATTGGCCAGGAATACAAGCGCGGGTAAGGGTGGCCGCTGGGCTCCGCGTGCGCGCGGGACGACCTTTGTGCGGGGCAGGTCCCTGGCACCCCAGAGCTCAGACTCGCTGCGGTCGCGGAACCAAGCGTCTCGGAGGCCGCGCCGGTTTCGGGGCACCGCTGCCATGGACATCCCGCCTCTAGCCGGCAAGACCGCTGCGATGTCTCTTGGCGCCCTGCCAGTGTCCTACGCGCTCAACCACATCTCGGCGCTCTCACAGTGCGTTTCGTCCGCGAGGACCACCGGGCTAGAGGGTGGATGAAGGGTGGCAGAGCCCGGGAGGGTCGGAGCTGGGCCTGGGGGATGCACATGCAAGAAGAAATCCCTCCCCCGCCGCGCCGAGGCAGGGGGATGCTGTGGTGGGGTTTTGGGGAAAAGTGATGTGGAGCCTTAGTGTCTGGGGCGCTAGTTAGTGGGTATTTCAGGGATGCACTCCGTGCAGGTTCCAAAGTCGCCTAGGGTCAAAGTTTTGTCCTAGATAAAGCCCTACTGACCCAGCTCCCCTGGCACGCATGCCCTGTTCCATCGCCTGTGACTCAGGCTTAGAGTAACTTTCTCCTACACTCAGTGACCACCCCGACCCTGGAGGTCCAGCAAGCCCTTTACTCCAAAGCTCAGGGGACCCAAACAATGGGATAGAGAAGGTTTTAGCCATAGGTCTGACTCCCTGGGTACCAATATCTGTCTCCCGGAAATCTGAGTGAGCCAAGTGCACTCTGGGAGCCTAGGTTCCTTCCTCTAAGTTTCACTATAGTCATGAGTGAGGATCACAAGTTCCGTGCAGTGTCAAGATTAGGTGTTTGATTGGCATTGCTGTTTAGGTAAAACCAGGCTGAGGTTCATGAAATGTGGCCTGGGTAGTGTAGGAGAATTGGACAACCTTGCTGTGCGGACTGGTCAGGTAGAGTCCCCTCTCTGGGTTTTGGTTTGTTTGTCCAGCTGTGTGAAGGGAAACCCAGAGCCCTGGATTCTGTTATCTTTGCAACTAGATGACCTGTCTTATCTGGTCGGTGGGGTAGATCTGGGCAAGGATAGGGTGGAGCAGATGGAGGCATTTGGACTTTAGCTGGGAGGAACTGGGAGCCTCGGGGAATACTGGAAACTCTCCCCATCAGGGTTGAGTCTGACCATGAGGGGTGAGCCTTGCTCAATGACTGAGCAACCAAATCCAAATGAATGAGTATCAGCTAATGATGGAATTAACAGAAGGGGGCAGGGAAATCAGGGAGGGGTTCCAGGGGGAGCAATCTAGATGGGCCTTGAAGGATGTGTAGGAGTTTGTCGAGTAGAATTCCTAAGCAAGAAGCTACTGAATGGGAAGGCGTTTCATTCTCCTTTGCTGGTACTTCCTGAATAACTCCTCCAGGAGGTCTCACCCAAGCATGGCCTCCCTTGGCATTCCCCCACTCCCATAGGCCTTTGTGCGCAGTGCTGATGAGTGCACTGATATTTGGTCTGCTCTTCATGGCCGTCTACAGCCTATCTCATGGGGAGATCACCTATGACCCTCTCTATGCTGGTGAGTCACTGGGAGGTGGTGGGGAGCAGGGCTGTCTGGGAAAAGGCCTCCATTCTAGACTTGGGACCAACCGAGGACCTCCATCAGTCTATGAAGGATTCCCATTAAACTGTAAAACTCAGGGGGCCTAGAACACCATTAGATTGGGAAGCTTCTGAAGACCTTCTCTTTCAGAGTTGGAACTCCAGAGAGAAGCAATTATGTCTCCCCCATCAGACCAGTGCCCCCCCACTCCCCCCACTTATGTAGCCCAGGCTGACCTTGAACTCCTGATCTTCCTGCCTCCACCCCACGTGCTGCGTGCTGGGATAGCATTGGCACCTTGTACGGCTCTAGACTAAGGACTTCTGACGCCTGGGCTGTGTTTCCTCCATCACACAAGTAGAATGAGAGGCTGTTGTGTACAGCCTGGGCCTGGAGCCTCGCCTGGTCACCTCATCCTGGGCCTGATGTTTCAAGTCCAGTTTTAAGCTGAGCTAAAAGCTAGGTATGGTGTTTCTGGCCTGTAATCCCAGCACTTGGGAAGCTGCCGCAGGAGGATTGCCATTTGTTCAAGAGCAGCCTGAGCTACAGACTCAGACCCTGTGTCAAAAGAACAGGAGCTGAGGTTGCACAGGCCCAAAGTGCCACTGTGTTGGCTCAGCCACACCCACACTGGCCATAGTCCTGCCCGTCAGCCAGGCACCTGCTCAGCCCCGCCCACTCTCCCCCCAGTCTTTGTGATCTTCTCCTTCACCTCGGTGGTGGACCTCGTCATTGCACTCCAAGAAGACGGCTACGTGGCAGGCTTTATGGATTTCTACACCAAGGAGGTAGGTGGTGGCTTCCAAGAGTGGGGTGGCTGGGCGTGGTCCTGGCCCCACTGTGCATGCTCCTGAGCCCCACCCCTGCCCACAGGGTGAGCCCTACCTACGCACAGCACATGGCATCTTCATCTGCTACTGGGATGGCACTGTGCACTACCTACTCTACCTGACCATGGCTGGTGCCATCCGCAAAAGGTGAGGGAGACAGGAGACTAGCAACCCAGGAGGAAGTTATTCCTCAGGTGGGTCCCAGGTCACTGGGGGGCCAGAAGTGTTTGAGAAGGGGTATGGTCACCCGTGGATGGCTAGAAGACCCACATCTTCTGAGCCACTGGTACCATTGCCAGTGCTGATTGTCCTTGTGTGAGGTGCCATCCTAGCACATACTGAGCATGCTCAGGACCCAGCACATTCCATCCCCAGCTACCATAAATAACGTCCAAGAGAGACCCAGCTAAAGAGTCAAGGTGGGCCTTTGGGCCCCAGCAGGGGCTTGAGATGGAGGGTTAGTGGCCCACGGCTACTCCTCTGTCACTTCCCAGGAAAAGGTACCGGAGCCTGGGGCTGTACTGGCTGGGGTCGTTCGCCATGAGCCTCCTGGTGTTCCTCCCGGGAAACATCCTCGGTAAGGACGAGCCTCTGCGCCTCCACGTGTCCAAAGACCCAGTAACCGAGCCCTGGCCAGCCAGCAGCCAAGACCCCCTCGGCTCCCATTCCTCATGGAAGTGAAGGGGAGACAACATTAATCCTGCTTCTTCTGCAGGCTACTGGCCCATGATGTCAAGGGTTTCCCAGAATGCTCTTCACACAGGAAGGGAGTTTTAGGGTGGATCCTGGGGCAGAATGTAAGCTTGTTAAATAGGTCTTTGGAGGTAGGGCGGAGTGACAAGCCCCAGTGTTAAAATGGCTCAGTAAATGCCAAGCGAGGAGACATACTCGATGGGGAACAAAGATATCCGCACAAGCGTCAGGTCTGTATTTAGCGTAAACTCAGCCAGGCCAGAGCAAGGAGCGTGCTGAGGAACCCGGAGTGTAGGAGAGCTCCAGCAAGCATAGTGTGACTCCAGACGTCCCGGTGGGGCTCCTGGGTGGCCCAGGGCCATTAGATCTTCCCGAATCACATGCTCTCCCCATGCTGACAGGTAAATACAGTTCAGAGATCAGGCCTGCCTTCTTCCTCGCCATCCTATACGTGCTGGTCCCATGCTGGGCTGGTGTGAGGATCTTCAGCCAGCCCTGTGCACCCACCTCCTGCACCCCCGACATGGTGAGTGCCCGCTACACCACGCTTGTGAATGGCTTTGGGTAAGCCAGGGGTATGGTGGCTCATACCTATCATGACGGTACCGGGGAGACCGAGGCAGAATTGCCAGGAGTTCAAGGCCAGCATGGGTTTTATGGTAAGACTTTCTCAAAACTCCAAGGAATCAAATGTGGCTCAACACTGGCCTAGGATCCCCCTAGTGAGGGACTAGGAGTATGGCTCAGGGCCAGAACACTTGCTCAGCCCGTATAAGCTCAAGACTAAACAGCTGTCTACTTGAGAGAGCCTCCTTGGTTCTCAGAAGATAGAGGGAGAGAGCATTTGCTAAGCATCTGCCGGACTCCAGGTCTCTCTCCTATGGGGCAGGTACAGGAGGAACAGAACAAAAGCCTTCTCCAGCGCCCAGCTGACCTGACACTCGTGGCGTATCTCATCCTTGCTGCGTTCTTCACTCTCTTCCGGGGCCTGGTGAGTTTGCTTCCAGTCTCCCTCCTCGGCCTTCACCCAAATTTATTTCCTTATTCATTGACAAAAGGACAGCATTCTTCTGACACCCGAGAAAGTTCTTCACCAAGTCCAACACGAAGGTTTCATGACAAATGCCTATTCCCCATAGCCTCAGCTTTCTTATTGTGAATCCATAGCCAACGGGAGAGAACTAGGGAGGGGTGAGAGGGACCAGGGTGGCTGGTGTGGCTTTGCCTTGAGAGCTGGAGTGGGGAGGAGCCTTGGGAGAGGCTTGAGATGGATGGTGGTTATCTGTGTGTCTTAGGTGGTACTTGACTGCCCCACAGACGCCTGCTTCATCTACATTTACCAATACGAGCCGTACCTGCGGGACCCTGTGGCCTACCCTAAGTTACAGGTGAGAGGAGGTGGAAGGGAAGGCCCAGCCTTCTCTGAGCCCTTGCCGGAAGCTCGTGCCAGCCAGGCAGGTGCACATGTCGACTTCAGGTGTGACAGGATCCAGGGGCTGAACATGTGTCCCAGAAGCACTCCCGGGTTTCATTCACCCCTTTGGGAACCCTAGGATTTAAGAACGTGTTTCACCGAGGCTCTGTTTTTAGCCCAGCCTGAATCACATGCCCCTGTCAATCATGTTAGCCTTGGAGATAGGCTGTTCCGATTTGGTAGGCCAGAGTTCCGCACCATCTCGGCAGCTAAGTGTAACTCGCTGTGTGTGATGGGGAGGGTCGGCTAGAGGGAGAGAGGAGCCCCTTGTAGAGCCCTACCCTGTGTTCTCATAGTCTGTGGTCTCCCCTAGATGCTGATGTATTTGTTCTATGCTCTACCTTTCTACTGCCTGGCTGCCTATGCCCTCACCTTCCCTGGCTGCTCCTGGCTGCCGGACTGGGCCTTGGTGTTCGCCGGAGCCATTGGCCAGGTAAGGGGTGGGGCAGTGACAGTGGACCTCAGGCCCAGTGCTCCAGAATCCCCTGGTGTGCAGGAGATGGCTGGGTGTGCATAGCCCCTAGGCCACAGGTAGCTCCAAACTCTGTGGTCAGAGCTAAAAAGAACCATGCTAGTGTGTGGATGGCGGTACAGGGCTTGCCTAGCATGTGCAAGCCCATAGCTTCCGTTCCCCAGCAATGGAAACAAACTAACGAGCTGGGCCTTTAACCCAGCACTCAGGCAGGAGGCAGAGGCAGGAGGATCTCTGTGAGTTTGAGGCCAGCCTGGTCTACAGAGCAAGTTCCAGGACAGCCAGAGCTGTTAAACAGAGAAACCCTGTCTAAAAATTAAAAACAAAAACTAACAAACAGAAACCTGGAAGGAAGGAGGAAGAAGGAAGGAGGGAGGGAGGGAGGGAGGGAGGGAGGGACGGACGGACGGACGGACAGACAGGGGCTGAGAAGGATGGCAGAGTGGAAAGACTGTGACTTATGAAGATACATGCAGGGAAGGACAGCCATGAACAGGAACAGCATAGGAAGGCAGCCAAGAGGACATCAAGGGAGAGCGAGACAAGAGAAATTGGAGCTGGATGTTGAAGACTTTGAACTCTGGGCTGTAGCCATGTGAGGGGAGGCAGGGAGCCATGGGAGGTGTGTGAGCACTGGAGGGCCCAGAGCTATTTTCCCAGGCAGGAAGGGTCTAGGTAGCCTAGACCCAGCCAAGACAGGGGGACCCAGGAAGTCTCTGCGCCTCTGATGACACTTGTGAGGAGCAAGAATGGGATCCCGTCAGAGGCAGGGATGTTTACTGCTAAACAGTTGTTTTGGGGAGGGAAGAAAACATGGCAGTGGGTGGTGGCCTGAGTGCTGACCTGGCCTGTGCTCCTCCTGTGTCCCTGCCAGGCGCAGTTCTCACACATGGGTGCCTCCATGCACCTGCGCACACCCTTCACCTACCGTGTGCCCGAGGACACCTGGACCTCCTTCTTTCTGAGCAACATGCTGTTTGCACTGGGCCCGCACCTGCTGGCATTCCGCTGCCTGTGGCGGCCTGCCTTCTTCATGCGAGCACGGCCTTTGGCACCCCAGGACCAAAGCAAGAAGCAGCAGTGAGCGTGTGCACTTCTCTGCAGGGCACTCTGCCTGTGCAGCAGGCCTTGGCCTCCAAGAATAGGTCGTCCCTTTTAAAGCTGGATGGACATCTGGGGAAATTGCAATCCAGGCCAGGAAGGAGCATAGGAGACCCAGAGGCCACAAGGACTCTAATGCCCTCTCCTGGAATTTACCCATCACCTGCCCACATCCTTTTAATAAAAGCCCTTTTGATGTCTAGGACATCACCACCTGAGTGTTTCAGGGAGCTGGAGCAAGGGACCATCTTCTTGTACCCATGAGGGGAAGGTGGGGTGCTCACAGCCACTGTCATGAGTCAGAGGGCCAGGACACTCACAGTCAGCCTCTCAGTGGGATGCACAGCTCTGTGTACCAGATGTGAAGACTGAGGCTCAGAAGGGTTGAGACCATGCTTAAGGTCAACTGGGAAAGTCACAGCTCATCTGGGGCTGTGGATGCAGCCATTGGTAAAGTGCTTTTGGAGTTGTCATTGGTGCCCTGGGTACCAGCACTGGGGAGGCGGAGGCTGGAGGATCAGGAGCACAAGATTGTCTTTGGCCACATAGCAAGTTGGAGACCAGCCTGGACTATATTCTCACGCCTCCACCCATAAAAGGGCCGGGCAATATGTCAGTCAGCAAAGTGCATGAAGACCCTAGTTCAAATCCCCAACCACATAAAAGCCAGCTGCTGTGGCAACGATGTGAGAGACTAGCCAGCCCTGGGGTGAGGAAGAGAGAGTCCCCAGAGCTCACTGGCCAGCCAGCGCCAGGTTCAGTGAGACACCTTGCCCCAAATCAGGTAGAAGCTGGCTGTGATGGCGCACGCCTTTAATCCCAGCCCTCAGGAGGCAGAGGCAGGTGGATCTCTGTGAGTTCCAGGCCAGCCTGGTCTACAGAGTGAGTTCCAGGCCAGTCAAGGTTGTTCCAAACAGACAGAAGGCCACCAGTGAGGAAGTGAGTTGCCCTCTGACCTACACACACCTGAACTCACTCCCAAGTGCAATGCAAACACACAGCACACACACACACACACACACACACACACACACACACACACACACAGAATGCAATATAACCAAATGGTGGCGTTGTTAGGGACCCAGTGAACAGACTGCTGCACTGGGCCTCCACATTCTAGACTGAGATCAGAAGTAAAGATTCTGGCCCAAGGCCATTCATACCTGGGCACAGCTGAGCTAGGGACGACTCCAGCCTAACAGGCTCACTTTCCAGGGCAACTGAGGCCAGCCAGGCAGTAAGTGGCTGGAAAGGGTTCTCTATTTCCTGTTCTTTAGTCTAGAAACTGGATGAGGGGGTGGTTTAGGGGTGACTGGGGCCCAGCGCTCTGGCCAGGATCAACCATTCACCAGGTTTAAGTGGAAGCCCAGTCACAGCAAGCCCTGCCTTGCCTGGAGACCCATGCAGACTGAGAGTCTCCCTGAGCGACACAGCCAGCAAGGGCAAGAGTGGAACTTGTCCCTCTGGGTCTCGGTGCTGGAATGTGATTTTGGGAGGATGCGCACATCTCTAGTGCCTGCTGGAGCCCGGGTTTCCAGGATCATTACCCAGTGAGCAGATGGACGCAGGAGGCTAACCGGCCAGACCTCTTGATCAAGCCATCTGCTCCTGCCAGTGCACAGAAGACTCAAGTTCGTCAGCCCTTAATCCATTCTATCATTTCAGAGAATTGATACAGGGTCTGGATATGGAGCCCAGGCTAGCCTCGAGCTTGCTCTCCCCCAGCTTTAGCCTCCTGAGTGCTAAGAACACATTCTGTACCACCATGCCTGGCTTTCCCAGTTACTTTTTTTTTGACAAGGTGTTTATGTAACCCTGGCTGTCCTGGAACTCACTCTGTAGAAGACAAAGTCTTATGTAGCCCAAGCAGGCCTTAAATTCCCAATGTGGCCTAAGGTAACTTCTCCCCCAATTTGTTTTTTTGAAGCACGGTCTCACTATTTAGTTCTGGCTGTCCTGGAACTCACTATGTAGACTAAACTGGCCTCAAACTCACAGAGATCAGCCTGTCTCTACCTCCTGAGTGCTGGGATTAGGTGTATGCCCCCATAACAGCACCAAATGTGTAGCCCAGGCTGGCTTCAAACTCATGATCCTCCTGCCTCTGCCTCTATAGCATATCTTACCAGCATGCACCACTACACTGCCCAAGATGACTTTGAACTCCTAATCCTCCTGCTTCAGCCTCCCCAGTGCTGAGATGACAGGTGTGTACAACCACCCTTGCTATACGGTGCCAGGGATGGAACCCAGGACCTCATGCATGCAAGGTGAGCCCTCCTCCAGCTGAGCCTCAGCCCGAGCCTCCGACTGATACAGGGCCTGGGCAGAGGCCAGGCTAGCCAGTCCTGCACTCCTCTTCCCTTTTTTCCTTCTCATCCCATGCTGGCCTCGAACTTGATAAGTAGTGGAAGATTACTTTGAATTGCTGATTCCTCCCTCTTCCCCGGAGTACGTGGGTAACAGTCCTGAGTCACCACCATAAAGTGAGGTGTATATGGGTGGCACGGGGGTTTGGTGGGCTTGCGATTTCCCTGAGCTGGCAGGAGCTGGGAGAGTTGGTTAAGGGGCTTGACCAGCTAGCCTCCGTTTACCCATCTGCTCATTGGTTGATTATATCATACTTCTGGGCTGCAGCATACCTGCCATCCCAAGGGTGGAGTGAAAACTGGGGCCTGTGAGACTCCTTCTCTGGCCAAGGTAATCCACATAGCTGGGAAGTCGTGGTGGGCCAAGGTCACTATCACCGTGGTCCCAGGTCAGGAGCGCCAGGGCTGCCCGTCTCCACCACTCCCCCGCCCCCCACCCCGTGCTGTGCGGTGAGCACGCGCTGCGCCTTTAATGCCCCACACGTCCTCCTCCCCTTGCAGGCAGACGCCGGGATTGCACGGCCCTGGGGACCAGCGAGCCAGAACGTTGTGCGCGTGCGCAGTCGGGAAGCGCACGGGTCGCTCAGCGGGGGCCGCGACCAGGATGGTGAGTGCTGGGCTGCCCTGGGGTCCCGACCTCGCCTTTGTCGCTGTTTCTCTCCTCGCTGCCTATCTCCGCCCTCTTTTGTTTTCCTCTTGCCTCGTCTTTCTCTTTCTTTGGCACTTTCCCCCTTCTCTGCCCCCTCAATGTCTACCCTTTATTTTGAGGGGAGGGGAGAGAGTGCTCACTTTTACTTTTTCCCTGTTTCTCGCCACCAGTCTCTCCTTCCTCTGCCTCTGAGTCTCTGTCTTTTTCTGCATCTCTGTCTCTGCGTCTCTGCCTGAGTCTCTTTCTGGGTCTCTGTCTACATCTCTGTCTCTGCGTCTCTGTCTCTGGGTCTCTGTCTCTGGGTCTCTGTTCTGGGTCTCTGTCTCTGGGTCTGCATGTCTCTCTCCCGCTGTCTCTCCTGGCCTGGCTCAGTAGCCCGATGTCCCCTCCTCCTCCCGCGCCTGCCCCGCTGGCCCCAGCCCCCGCACATGCTGCCGCCGGGCTTGCTGCAGTCTCCTGGCGCTCGGATAACCTTGCGGCCCCGGTGCGGGCTGCTGCTCCCCCTCCCGTGCGCTCCGGTAGCGGGGGCGGAGACCTGAGGGAGGGCGAGAGGAGTCATCTGATGCTCGGGCAGCTCCGAGGCTAAGACCCCTTTGGGGAGGGCAGGACGAGCTGCTGAGGGTCGGGGCTCCTGTGCCCGCAGGCGTGCGCTCCGGCGGCCCTCGGTCCCCGCGCGCTCTGGGCCGTCGCCTGGGGACTCCTGCTGCTGGTCCCGGTTCCTGCCGGGGCGCAGCGGGGCAGGAAGAAAGTCGTGCACGTGCTGGGTGAGTCTTGAGCGCAGCTCTAGTTCCCGTCCCCTCTCCCACCGCCCCCCCCGCCCCACACACAACACACGGCTGTGGCCAAGAGCGAACGATGGGGGTGGGGTGGGTGGCGGGTGGCGGTGGTCCCCAACACTCAGTCTCTTCGGAGTTCCTTTCTCATCCTAGACTTAATCCCTTCTCTGGGTCCCGCCCTACCGCACCTTTGACCCCTGATTGGTCGCCCCGCAGAGGGCGAGTCCGGCTCCGTGGTGGTGCAGACTGCGCCCGGGCAGGTGGTGAGCCACCGCGGGGGCACCATCGTCTTACCCTGCCGGTACCATTATGAGGCGTCCGCCCACGGCCAAGACGGCGTCCGCCTCAAGTGGACGAAGGTAGTAGATCCTTTGGCCTTCGCCGATGTCTTCGTGGCCCTGGGTCCCCAGCACCGAGCCTTCGGCCCCTACCGAGGGCGGGCTGAGCTGCAGAACGACGGCCCTGGGGACGCCTCTCTGGTCCTCCGAAATGTCACCCTGCAGGACTATGGACGCTATGAGTGCGAGGTCACCAATGAGCTAGAGGATGACGCCGGCATGGTCAAGCTGGACCTGGAAGGTGACTGAAGCGTGGGCAGAGGAGAAAGGGGGGCAGTGTGGGACAAACCGAATCAAGTTGGCATGGTGGAGATTTTAGTGGGCAGGGGACTAGTTCGTTTAAAAATGTTTATTACAGCTTTTATTTATCTGTATGTGTTTGAATGTGTGTGCATAGTCAAGGCATCTTGCCTCAGATCCCCTGGAGCTGGAGTTACAGGTGGTTGTAAACTGCCTAACGTCGATGTGGGGGAACTCTCATCATCCTTTGAAAGAGAAGCAAGAGTTCTTCTCTTCCTCCCCCTTTCTAGACAGGGTCTCACTATTTAGCCCTGGCTGTCCTGGAACCCACAGGCTGGCCTCAAATTTAACAGAGATTCAACTACCTCTGCCTCCCAAGTGCTGGGATTAAAAGCGTGTGCCACAACTCTGGGCCTGAAGAAAGTGGTTGTTTTTTGTTTTGTTTTGTTTTGTTTTTCAAGACAGGGTTTCTCTATGTAACAGCCTTGGCTGTCCTGGAACTCACTCTATAGACCAGGCTGGCCTCGAACTGCTGGGATTAAAGGTGTGCACCACCACTGCCCAGCGAACTCATGGTCTTTAAAGAAAAATGTATTGAATTTGTAGTGGGTGTAAGTGTATGCATATGGGTGTGTGCCTACCATGGCGCCTGCATGGCGGTGACAAACAACTTACAGAATGGACTCTTCTTCCACCAAGTAGGTCCTAGAACAGTACTCAATTCATCAGGCTCGGTGGCAAATGCCCTTACCCTCCGAGACCATTTCACTGGCCTCTTTGGACATTTTAACAAGGGCAGATAATAGTAGCTGTCTTCGTTAGATGCTTTCTGTTTGCCAGCCACTTAGCTGAAGGGCTCTCTGGAGCTTCTCATTTAATTCCCCCAAATCCCCAAGGTAGACGGCTATTAACCAGGAGATGAGCTCTGTCTCAAGAAGGCCCTGGGCACCTGTGAGTGAGGGTCCTGGCGGAGATTCCACATCTTGTCCATCAAGCTCTGGGTCTTCACTGCAGCTGCTGTTTACATCTGTCTTGGGATCGCTGAGAGCGCGTGATTCAGCCCCAGCCCTGTCCTTAGGCACAGAAACAGGGTTGTGTTGACTGTGAGTCTAGGGAGCAACAAGTTCGGAGTCGGTGCACTGAAGTTGAAACAGAAGCACTTTAAATATAAATACTGGCAAGCCAAAGAGCTCAACACCCTACCCAGCTTTTCAGGGGCCAGTGTAGAGGAACCCGGAGCTAGGAACAGGCATTTCCAGCTCCAGGGTCCCTTTGGGAAGGATTCAGTTCTGTTGGGCTGTCAGAACATTGAGACTGAGGAAGGTTAAGAGTTGAGTTTACTGGGCAGTGGTGGCACATGTCTTTAATCCCAGCACTCAGGAGGCAGAGGCAGGTGGAGCTCTGTAAGTTCAAGGCCAGCCTAGTCTACCAAACTAGTTCTAGGATAGCCAGGGCTACATAGAAACCCTGTCAGAGTTGAAGGCTGAATAGAATAAGAGTTAGGCAGGTGAAGAAGGATAGGAAGAGCGTGAGCCAAGGTCTCCGACCATAGAAGAGGAGTAGGCATGGTTAAGTATGCTAAAGAGGGGGACAAGTAAATCGAAGGACCCGTAATGTGTGTGAGTTGGCCGGAGGTGTGGCCAGCTCTGAGGGCCAGAGAGAAGAATGAACTGGAAGGTTCTGGTTCATGTAAGGTGCGTGAGAAACCGGGTACCCTGACAGACTCCCATCTGTTTTCCTCTAGGCGTGGTCTTCCCCTATCACCCGCGCGGAGGCCGCTACAAGATGACTTTCGTGGAAGCACAGCGCGCGTGCGCCGAGCAGGATGGCATTCTGGCGTCGGCCGAGCAGCTGCACCAGGCCTGGCGCGACGGCCTGGACTGGTGCAACGCGGGATGGCTACGGGATGGCTCGGTGCAGTATCCAGTGAGCCAGGCCCGGGAGCCCTGCGGCGGGGCTGGGAACCCTGGGGCCGGTGGAGGCACCAACGGCGGTGTGCGCAACTATGGATACCGCCATAACGCGGAGGAACGCTATGATGCCTTCTGCTTCACGTCCAACCTCCCCGGTGAGTTAAGCCCTTTCCTTGAAGAAGCCCAGCCCCTCTGGGAAGATACCCGCCCCCAGAAGGGAGGCTCCGTCCATAAATACATAGGCTCCACCCCCTGAAGGGAACCCTTCCCTCTTCCCGCCCTCCTGAGCATTAGGCCCTCTCCCAGGAAGGAGGCCCATCCCTCAAGTTCAAATGACCCCGCCCTGGAGGGACACCGACCTCGTGTGCACAGGCCCTGACACACGGAGGGTGGCCCCACTCCTGAGTGCACAGGCCCAGGCCCTGGAAGGAGGTCCTCCCCGAGCGCGTGTGTCCCGCCCCCTAGAAGGAAACCCACCCCAAGTGCATAGTCTTGGGGGAAGGCTGGCCCACAGGGCCTGGCAGAGGGAGGGAGGTTTGTCTCAGAAACGCAGACAAGAGCTTAGGCCCCATTCCTAAGGGCACAGGCTCCTGAGTGACGACACCCCCTCCACACACACACAGTAGGCTCTGCCCCAAGAAGAGAGGCCCACTTCCAGCGCATATTCCCTGACCCCTAGAGGAAGGCCTGTCCGAAATGCACAGGTCCTACCCCGTGGTTGGAGGTCCATTTCAAGAGTGTAGACCATGCCCCCAAGAACACATCCTCCGCCACCGGCGAAAACCTTCCCAAACATAGGTCTCGCCCCAAATAGGAGACCTGCCCAATGGACTCAGATCTCCTTGAAGCGCATAGACCCTGCTTCCGAGAGCATCGGCCCCACCCCCTAAGTGACAGGCCCCGCCCCCTCCCCTTGCTGGCCCTTCGCTACTGTAGGAAGGAGATTTTCCAGGGCTGCCACAGGGGGGCAGTGAAGTGCCACCTGGCGCAGGCATCGCACTGGCAGAAACCGATGGCAGGGAATGGGATGGACCCCGAGCTGGGAGTTCCAGGCTTCGGGAGCCCAGCGGGCCCAGCCCCGTCCCGTGCTGACACGCCCCCGGGTCCCGCAGGCCGCGTGTTCTTCCTGAAGCCTCTGCGGCCGGTGGCCTTGGCCGGGGCGGCTCGCGCCTGCGCGGCGCGGGGTGCAACGGTGGCCAAGGTCGGGCAGCTGTTCGCCGCGTGGAAGCTGCAGCTGTTGGACCGCTGCACTGCAGGCTGGCTGGCCGATGGCAGCGCGCGCTACCCCATCGTGAATCCGCGAATTCGCTGCGGGGGCCCTCGGCCGGGCGTGCGCAGCCTGGGTTTCCCCGACGCCTCCCGACGCCTCTTCGGCGTCTACTGCTACCGCGCCCCAGGTGCCCCAGACCCGGCTCCAGGAGGCTGGGGCTGGGGTTGGGCGGGCGGAGGAGGCTGGGCGGGAGGGTCGAGGGACCCGGCTGCCTGGACTCCGCTGCGTGTCTAGGACCGCGAAGATGGGCATTTGGGGATGTTGGTGGCGGATCCAGGGGCCCTGCATACTCCCTGGAGACAGACTATGCACCAGAGATCCCTTGGATACACGACACACCTCTGTGGTGCGCTGCAGGCTGACTCAGCTACCTGTGGTCTTTGGACACTGACCACGCCTTCTGAGGTCTTCTGGATACGTGACATACCTACCCTGCAGTGCGCTGCAGACTGACCCAATTGTTGAGGTCTCTGACTATGCCGCCCTCTGAGATACCCTGATAGTGGCCAAGCCCACTTCTTTGGATAATGGATGTCCCATCTTCCAGACTTTGTCTAGAAGAGCCACGCTCTCTCCCAACCCCCAGGATCCCAGTAGACCAGCAGGACCCCCACGGTTTCCTAAAGACGAGCCACCCTTCTGTGGCCTCCTGGAAAACAGTCCCCCTCACTTACCTGGAGGCTGGACCCCCAGGATTAACTGGAGACTGGCCACACAAAGCCTCTGCGTTTCCCAGGAGCTGGAAAACTGGTCTTGGACAGTCAGCTGTTCACTGACTTCTCCCCATCACTTGGTGAAGAAACAGAAAACTGTGGGTCACAAGGTGACCATGCCCTGTGCTGGCAGGTAACCCAAAGGCTGTGTATTCCCACTCTTCCAGAGAGTCTCTTTAAGTTTCCAAGGTAATATACCTTGTCCCCCGTCGCTGTGGAGGACAGCCCCAACACCTCTGGCTTCATGGGAGAATGTCCCCAGCTGGCTCCCAGGAACAGTGGCCATGCCTACCCCTCAGGTATCTCTCTGGCCAGAGAGTAGACTCGCCTGAATGTCCCTTCCCAGGCTCCTTGGGGCTGTCACCAAAGAGATCATTCCCTCAGACCTGAAACCCCTAAAAAAGTCTCACTTGCTGTGGAAACACGCTGCTCGGCCTCGTAAGGTGACAAAGGTCACTCGTGCACCCACCCCTAGGTCTCACCTATCACACCCACCGAGACGGTGCATCCTCCTTCCTCTGTAACCATGGGTACCACACTTTTCCTTTCTCACTGGCCTAGAGCCCAGACACCTACCACTCCTTTTCTGGCTGTCCCCATCCTGATGGACCACTGTGGAGACCATCGTCCCCAATGAGTGTCCTCAGGGTGACCTAGCATTCATTCCTCCAGGCCTCTCCATGGAAACAAGCTGCCCCTTTCCCGAGGTGCATCTCCGGCTCTTCTCAGCTGTCCAAGCCCCACCCCCAGACAGCTTGTACCTCACAGTTGTTGCCATGGAGACCAAACTCTGGTGTCCAAGGTAACAGAACACCTGTCCCTCCAAGGCTTTCCCTCCAGGGTCCTGTCCTGCCCAGCTGTCGCCATAGAGACCATCAGTGTCTCCATGACAACTGACCTGCAGCTCTCAGGAACTTCTTGCCATGGGCAGAGTACCTCTCACTGGAGCTGCCTGCTGTGTTCCTCAGGGGCCTGACAAATGTCCCTTCTTCAGATGGGCCCAGACAAGGCTCTGCTGCCGGAGCAGCTGTCTGCCCGGCTCGTTTGCACGTTAACTCTATGCCAGGCAGCAGCCGAGCCCAGCCACCGCCCTGTAAATGATCGCCCTGCAGGTGAGGAGACAGGCTGTGGTACCGCACACAGCCCACACAGCCAGGGCTTTCCTTCCCTGGAGGTGAAGAAGGGTGGAATGTGCCTGGAACCACCAAACAGTTTCGGGGGGCCCTCGTGTGCTCCGGGGTCAGGACCGCATTCACAGACCGTGTAGACAGCATCCCAGATGCCGGGGCTCCCAGCTCCGAGGAGCCGCTCGGAGCAGCAGGTACCCTTGCTGGTGGCCTCTTGCCTGCCCCATCTATTTCTGCAAAACCCATCTCTGAGTCTGGAAGCCGGTGGCCGTGGGCTTTGGTTGTAAAATGTTTGACCAAGTGACAGAACTCGTCTAGGCTGTTTTCTTTGAACCAGGATTGTTCTGAGGTCCCACAGTGCAACCGCCCTGTGTTCAATAAACCTTTGTTCCTTTTGATGAATGAGAAACATGGCTGCCGTCCTCCTCTCTCATAAGTGCAGTGGACTTCTTAGGCTGGGCTGGGAAGCAGCTCCCCTCATTCAGTGCCCACCTCCCGACATAAAAAGGCAGAACAGTTTACCAGGGGTCAAGACTAGGACCCTGTGAGATACTCTGACCTCCTCAAGTGCATTGTGAGATGTGTGCATAATAATAATTCTGTAATTTTAAAAATGTGTTCAGTCAGGATTTGGTTGTAGAATTGAGGTAGCCATCTATAATTTTCATTTATTTTTAAGTGTTTGTGTGCCTGGAGGCCTGAAGAGGGAGCTTGATCCCTACAACTAGATTTATGGAGTGTGGTTTGCGCCCCGGTCCTCGGCCGGAGCAGCCAGTCACCACGCCATCTCTCCAGCCCCCTAACTTTTATTTGTAGACTTTATTTTATTTGCTTATGTTTAGTGTCTGGAGTGTGTAACAAGTGGTCAGAGGATGGGCCTGAGTCTCAGGGGTTGACATTCATGCAGTCCTGGACCAATCAGGGTGACTCTGGGAAATGAGCCAGACCATTCGTGGCCGAGCTGGAAGGGGTGACTCTTTCCGTCACTCTCACCCCGTGAAAACGGACTTTACACAGGAAGAGAAAACTCAGAAGCTGGACCCACTTCAGGGATGGAGAAAATCTGCCTAGATGTCATCCCACCTGACACACGCTGTCCCAGCACCCTAATCACGCCCCCCCATACGCTGGACGTGGTGGTGCCCACCGTTTGTTCCACACTCTGGAGGTAGAGGCAGGTAAATCTCTTGAGGTCAAGGCAACTTGGTCTGCAGCATTGGTTCTCAACCTGTGGGTCTCGGTCCCTTTGGGGATCGCATGTATTTACATTATGTTTCATAACAGTAGCAAAATTACAGTTATGAAGTAGCAACAAAATAATTTTATGGTCAGTGGTCACCACAGCATGAGGAACATGTCAAAGCATTAGGAAGGTTGAGAACCACTGGTCTACAGAGTGCCTTTCAGGCTACTTAAGGCTGTATAGTGAGACACTTTAAAAAATAACCCCAATGCACACCAAACCCCCTGGTGCTCCCCTCCCAACTGAGGTCCACCTGGAGCCCACGCCCCCGTCCTGTGTGCACGTCTGTCCCCACTGCAGACGAGGGTTTACAGAGCTGGCAGCAGTCACTGGTGTCTTGGTGCATGGCCACCCCAGAGCCTGGAAAGACGGCTCGGTGGGTAGAGATACTTGTCGCTGATCTTGACAAGCTGAGTTCAGTCCCTGGGACCCACAGGGCAGAGGGAGAACTGACTCGCACACACGCTGTCTTTGGTGTCTTTGGTCTCCACGTCTGCTTCTTGGGCTCCTATGGGAGCGTCTTTGTTGTTTGTTTTTTTTCTTCCTTTCTCTTCTTTTTCAAGACAGGGTTTCTCTGTGTAGCCCTGGCTCTCCTGGAACTTGCCTTGTAGACCAGGCTGGCCTTGAACTCACAGAGATCCGCCTGCCTCTGCTTCCTGAGTGCTGGGATTAAAGGAGTGTGCCACCACCGCCTGGCTGTTTTTGTTGAGTTTCTCCCTGTAGCCCTGGCTGGGCTCACACTTCTTATCTCACGACTTAGCAGGAAGATTGCTGTGAACTCCAGGCCAGTCTGGGCTACAGAGTAAGGCAACCAGTCAACAGTGAGCCCCTAACTCTGCACCTCTGGCAGGCCGTCCATACCTGCTCTTCTCCAGCGGCGTGTAGCAGCATGGGTTTTCCTTTCCTGCTTTCGTTGTTTGTTTTTGACAGGGTCATGTGTAGCCCAGGCTGTTCTTCCGGCCTGAGCCGAGAGTGCTGAGGCGAGGCGTGTGCACACTCCTGCTCTGCTGAGATGTGTGTGTGTGTGTGTGTGTGTGTCTGTGTGTGTGTGTGTGTGTGTGACTTCTCTTCTCTCTGTGACCAGATGCCTGCCATAGCAAATGAAGGGAGGAAGCGTGTATTAGACTCTCAGTTCAAGGATACAGTCTGTCACAGTGGGAATGTCTCGATGGCAGGGCCATGAGGCGTTGGATCGCGTTGTGCTCACAGTGAGGACGTGGAGTGCTGAAGGCTGCTGCTCCCCGTTTTCTCCTTGGTTATGTTTTGTTTGTGACATTTCTTTCTTTGGCAGGGGGAGGAGAGGACTCACTTCATGGTCCCCTTGTGGTTCTCTGCTTCTCCCACAGGGTCCAGGGACTGAACTGAAACCGTGGGCTGAGCCGCGAGCACCTCCGCCAGCACCCTTGCCGTTGTCCCGCCCCTGCGTGTCTTCAAATAAACCACGGTTTGATAGGATGACTTTAGTCTCCCCCGACCCCAAGGCTGGCTCGTGCTGTGCCTCCATCCACCCTCGCCTGGCATGCAGGTCTACTCCTGGGAGACTGGTGCAGGAAGATCTTGAGTTCAAAGTCAGCCTGGGACACATAGTGAGACCCTGTTAAAAACTAACTAGCCGGGGGGTGGTGGCTCAGACCTTTAATCCCAGCACTGGGGAGGCAGAGGCAGGAGGATCTCTATGAGTTCAAGGCCAGCCTGGGCTACAGAGTGAGTTCCAGTAAAGGCACCAAAGCTACACAGAGAAACCCTGTCTCAAAAAAAAAAAAATAAAAACTAACTAACTAAATGAAGAGGAGAAGGGGGGAGAGAAGAGGAGGGGAAAGGAGGAGGAGGAGGAGGAGGAGGAGGAGGAGGAAGGGATTCCTATTTCCTCTGCCATTCCCTGCTTTCCCTCTACACACAGCATAGTATATGGCTTGTGATGAGGCTCAGATTGCGCTGTGGCTCATCTGGCGGAGGGCTTGTAGCCCAATGGGTAGAGTGCTCTGCTAACATTCACAAGGCTTCCAGCATCCCATAAACCAAATGTGGCAGTGCATGCCTTCAATGTGCATGCACTTGGAAGGCAGAGGCAGGCAGATCTCTGTGAGTTCGAGAACAGCCTGGTCTACATAGAGAAACCCTGTTTCCAAACAAAAACAATCATGAGTTTAAGATCATCCTTGGATACATAGGGAATTCTGGGCCAGCCTGGGATACATGAGCCATTTACTTCAAATGGCTCAGTCAATAGTACCAGACAGGTGAATGGGTGAGAAACAGTTTCGGGGGCAACAGGAAAGATGAACTGTTAAAAAATTTTATTAAAATGTCCAAGAAGTACATTAACGTCCACAGTGTCAGATACCACAGATCCACCGAACATCGAAGCTCCAAGAAAAAAACCAACAGAACCTGTAGCCATTCACACACACACTTGCACTCCTGCTGCAGATGTGGCCCATGGAGGAAAAGAGCAAAGATGAGCCTCCACTCCAGAAAGGCCAAAGCCTCTCCATTCCTGGAGCGGGGCTGGAGCGGGGCGCAACACACCCCAGCAGCCACTGAGCCCCTAGCAGCCACGCCCCCGTCCCTCCAGCTCGGGATTGCCAGGGGCTGGCTAAGGGTCTCCCTTCTGTATCATGAAATGTTAAAATAGGCGGGCAGTGGTGGCGCACGCCTTTAATCCCAGCACTCGGGAGGCAGAGGCAGGCGGATCTCTGTGAGTTCAAGGCCAGCTTGGGCTACCAAGTGAGCTCCAGGACAGGCTCCAAAGCTACACAGAGAAACCCTGTCTCGAAAAACCAAAAAAAGAAAAGAAATGTTAAAATAAATACAGCTGTGGCTCCCGGCTTCCCAGCCACAGCCAGAGGCCAGACAGTGGCTGTCTGCAGCAGGGGCCACTAGGGATCAGGGTCCACTTTGCTTTTCTCAATCATTTCCAAGCCTACTCGTGTGTGTGTGTGTGTGTGTGTGTGTGTGTGTGTGTGTGTGTGTGTGTGTTGGGAGCACAAATCAAGACCAGAATTTGGGAATGGGGCTGAGTTGTTTGCAGCTCAGTGGATGTGCACAAAGCACACCCGATTCTGGGGTCCACCCCCGGCACTGTATATATATAGTGGTGCACACCTATCACTCCAGCACGTGAGAAGCTGAGGCAGGAAAACCAGGAGTTTAAGGTCGCCCTTAGCTACACAGCAAACTGAAGGCCAGCCTGGGATGCACGAGGCCCTGTCTAACAAACAACCTTACACTGATTACAGTGCCCAGAACGAAGTCCTTCCTGTCTGTAACTTTGTCTTCCTCTCCTATCGAAACCGAGCTGGGGACGGACCCCAGGACCTTGTGCAGGGCTGGCTAAGCACCCACCCCAAGCTGCCCGGCTCCCGCCTGCCACACCAGCTCCTCCCACACATTTTGAAATCTTTACTTGTTTATTTTGTGCTTGTGCAGTGTGTGGGGGTCTGTGCGATGGCTTCGCCCAGGCTGCAGTGAACGTGTGGAAGTCAGACGACCTTTCTTTCGGGGTCAGCTCTGGCCGTCCACTCCCTGCAGGCCAGCTGGCTCACAAGCTTGCTCTCCCTACCTCCCCTCTCACAATACTAATCCTGGGATTACAGATTCATGCCACCCCACCTGGCTTTTCCTTTTTGAAACATGGGTTCCAGAGATTAAACTGGCTTCTTCAGGCTTCTTTGGCTAGCATCTTTATCTGCTGGGCTGTGCTCAGGCTCCGCACTGTGGTTTTAATACAAATTCACAGATTTTTTTCCCAGACTGGAGGGACTGAAAATGGACAGAGGCCTTGGAGGCAAATCTCTGGCCCCTCTGGGAGAGGGATCCCATCCCTGGCTTAGAGAAGTCTTTTCTAAGGTGCAGATGGGAAGAGGGAGTGTAAGGTGGACTCTATCACATTTTAAAATGTGAAATTACGAGAGAAGGGTGTGTGTGTCACTTCTACAAAGAGACCACAAGGCGGGGCCCCTTCAAGCATTGCCAGTCCACTGGCAGGGTGTGGCGTCAGGAAAGGGTGGGGCAGGGGTAGAACCCGAGGCAGGGGATTTACTGAGGTCTGCTGAAAGGTTTAGTAAGGACAGGCTGTGGGCTAGAAAATGTGGCACCATCTTGGTCCAGGCAGGAGGTTATCTGTCTCCCTGAGAGATGGAGGGGGGAATGCAGTGGCATCCAGATCTCATTTCTATACACATTTGTCATCGCAAACCCACGGAACTGCCACACATGATGGTGCGCCTGTCATCCCAGCACTCAGGCGGCTGAAAAAGGATTGCTGTGGGCTGAAACCCAGCCTGGGTTATAGAAAGAGATCCTATGTCAATAAACAACAGAAGTCTGGGCATGCTAATCCCAGGAGGCAGAGGCAGGCAAATCACTGAGTTCCAGGCCAGCCTGGTCTAGATAGCAAGTCCCAGGCTAGCCTGGGCTACACAGTGAAGTCCTGTCTCAAAACAAAAACAACCTCAAAACAGAGCCACTGTATCTCAGCACTGCACTAACCTGGGGGAGTAAGCAATACAAACCCCCATCACTCTACGTAATCTCCCCTCAGAAGCCCAGGAGGCCAGTGACTCCAAGCGACGTCCTAAAATTCAGTACACGGAGAGTTCCACACTAGATTTGTGCACCAAGACCAGGGATCAAGGCTGGGGCGTAGTTAGTAGAGGGCACTTGCTGTACTCGTGAGGCCCTGGGTCCCATCTGCAGCACCAAATGAACCAGGCAGGCATGGCGGTGCACAGCTACATTAGTGAGTTCAAGGCCCGCCTAGTCTATGGGGATGGGGGAGCTGGGGGGTTGTGGGGAAGGAAGACAAAAGAGAGCCAGAGACATCAAAGACCACCCTTCCGGGGAATCCCAGGTGAAGCCAGAGCACGTCATGTTTGCACTGTGGGCTTCTGCTGAGCGCCACTCTCGAATCAGTGACCTTTAGCCATGGCTTCACCCTGGATTCAGGACGGTCCACTGTTGACTAAGCCTGAATCTCTGGGGTGACAGCCACCCCCAGCACACACAAACACACTGTCGCCCCCTCTTGGAAGGCTAGCAGCCAGACTTCGGGATCCCTTTTCCCGTGGCTGGGAGATGCTCCTAGAGGCTTGGGCTGACCACTCTGGCCACCCTGCAGGAGGACCTCAGGAGGGAAGGAAAGGGAGATCTGAGCTTTGTACAGTGGACCGCAGGGGTGTGGGTCTCAGGGGTGTTCCCACCCTCTCTCTCCTGGTTGTCTGGGTCCTGGCTCCCCAGGTGAATGCTCTGGAGGAGGTGTGGGAGCATGTGCTTGCTTAGTCTGGATTTTCAGCAGAAATCCCCTTCGTCCTTCTCCCAGTTTTCTGCTGGGTGTCTCTTGTGTTTTCTGTGCTCCTTGTGGGGTTTGTGATGTCGGTGCTGGTGGTGGCGGTGTCTACGCATCCGGTGTGACCTCCTGGCTGCAGGGATGGGAAAGAGATAAGAAGGGGTGAAGATGGATGTTGGGGTGGTTGGATGTTACTGGCCTCCTCAGGGGATGGAAAGAGAAGAAATACGCTCAAGGAAGAACTCTGAGTTCAAGGCCAGCCAGAGCTGCACAGTAAGGCCCTGTCTCAAAAAACTCAAAAAACCAAGCCAGGTTATGGTGGCGCAAGCCTTTGATCCCAGGACTCATGATATAGAGGCAGACAGATCTTTGTGAGTTCAAGGCCATCCTGGTCTACAGTTCCAGGACAGCCAAGGCTACACAGGGAAATCCTGTCTTGAAAAACAAAAAACAAACAAAGAACCAAAACAAAAAAACAACTTGTTGGGGGCTAGAAATGTGGCTTCATTTACCAAAAGAGCCCCATTCCTGAGTTGTGTGGGTCGTACTTTACAGTCCAGGCTGGCCTGGGATCTGCAGCTACTTTGCACTGACCTCAGAGTAGCTGAGAACAGGATCAATGCCCAGAAGCCCATCAGCTGGTGTGGGGACTCGTGTACACCTGTCGACCCAGCACTTCCAGGGAGGGAAGCACGTCTTGGCTACACATCCCAGCTCTGAGGCCAGCTTGTGCATGACCTTCTGTCTCCAAAACACACAATGAAAGCATTAGGTGGGCTGGTGAGGTTTCACTTATCTGAAAGGCTGCATTACCAGGAAGATTTTGTTTTGTTTGTCTTTCAAGACAGGGTTTCTCTGTGTAACAGCCTTGGCTGTCCTGGAACTCACTTTGTAGAGCAGGCTGGCTTAGGTCTGCCTCTGTCTCTGAGCACTGGGATTTAAGGTGAGTGCCACCACTGCCCAGCCACAGGAAGACTTTTTTTGAGACAGGGCCTCATGTAGCTCAGGCTGGCCTTAAACTTACTATGTAACAAAGGATGACCTTGATCTTCTGATCCTCCTGTGTTGCTGGAGGGCTTCTCTCCAGGTTCCACCAAACCCCGCAGTCCCACAATCCATGTATAAAATAATCACTCAGACGCTTATATTACTTACAAACTGTATGGCCATGGCAGGCTTCTTGCTAACTGTTCTTATATCTTAAATTAACCTGTTTCTATAAATCTATACCTTGCCACGTGGCTCATGGCTTACCGGCGTCTTTACATGTTGCTTGTCCTGGCGGTGGCTGCAGTGTCTCTTCCTCCTTCTTCCTGTTTCCCCAATTCTCCTCTCTCCTTGTCCCGCCTCTACTTCCTGTCTGGTCACTGGCCATCAGTGTTTTATTTATATAGAGCGATATCCACAGCACTCCTGCCTCTACTTCCTGAGTGCTGGGAGGATGACAGGTCTTTGGAAATGAAGCCCTGGCTCTAGCAATTGAGCTTCAAGCACTGTACCCACTGAGTCACATCCTCAGCTTAGCTTTTTTTCTCCTGTGGGTCTCACACCACAGCCCAGGCTGACCTCGGACTGTGGTCTTCCTGCCTAAGCCTTCACGTTGCTGGGATTACAGATGATGCCATCCCACTGTGTGGAGACAGGGCACGATATCCAACTGGAATTTTGTCAGGGATGGGTTATCGGGCACAGTACTTACGTTTGGTGCAGACAATCTGGGGCCGGTCCCACTGTCCATTGTTCCGGCATCGGATAGTGGCCACATGGTGCTGGGAGAAGCCCTCATCACACTGGTACCGCACGGTGGCATGGACACTGTACTTGGCCTTGCGTACGCCGACAAGGGAGGCGTTCTCCACTGCTGGAGGGGGGCCACACAGCACTGGGGACAGAGGGCTCTGGTTAGGGGAGGGGCTGAGGGTGAGGATAAGCCAGGGACACATCTTATTAGATGGGAGCCCTCCAGGTGCCAGCTCCCACCGCTGCACAGCTCTGAGCCCAGAGAACTCCACATGGCTGTGCCCAGGAGCTTCTGGGGTGTGTGTGTGTGTGTGTGAAATCTTCTGGACACACCCCACTCTCTAGGGCATAAGGCACAAGAATAAACTGAAGCACAAAAGGAAAGTGGACAGAATGCATACGATTATTTCCTTCACTTAGAAATTATCCAGGTGGTGGCGCACGCCTTTAATCCCAGCACTTAGGAAGAGACAGCAGATCTCTGTGAGTTTGAGGACAGCCTGAGCTACAGAGTGAGTTCCAGGACAGCCAGCACTACACAAAGAAACCATGTCTTGAAAAACCAAATAAAATTTTTAAAAGAAAGAAAGAGAAAAAGACAGAAAAGAAAAAGAAATCATGCCAGGCAGTGGTGGCGCACGCCTTTAATCCCAGCACTCGGGAGGCAGGGGCAGGAGGATCTCTGTGAGTTCGAGGCCAGCTTTGTCTACAAAGCGAATTCCAGGACAGCCAGGATGACACAGAGAAACACTGTCTTCAAAGGGGTGGGGGAGAGAAAGAAAAGGAAAAAGAAAAGAAATCACTAGCCGCAGGCCCTCATGGGAATAGTCAGGAAAACAGCTACAAGAGTCTGGAGGACAAGCGGGAAGGGCATTGCAGTACCTGTGCCCTTCTTGCAGACGTACGGGAGGTTGTAGTTGCAGGGGACATCATTCCAGCGCCCACTCTCATGTGCCACCATCACCACACAATCCTCACCACCCGCGAAGAAATTATCTGGCTGATTCTCCCTCCAGTTTTCATATTGCTTTGGAAAGAAAGAGCTGCAGTCACTCTGGTGCCTGTGTGCCAGCCCAGCTCCCGACACTTCCTGAGTGATTCCCGTGCCCAGACCCCCAACAAGAGAACTGGTGCCCCCCTCTCTACATCTCTAGACGGGCACCCTTCTCTAGCTGGGAGGTTGCAACACCTTGTCTATCCTTCCTGCCTCATTTATACCCGCTTCACAGCATAGTTGAAAAAACGCTGACCCCAGCTGGAAGTACAGGAGGCAACAGGAAGCGCTGGAGCCGAGGGGCACCCAGGCAGAGAACAGAGTGCCAAGCGCAGGGAAGGTCCTGCACAGGCCCAGGGGCAGGGAAGGAGTCAGGACAGAGTGGGCAGGGCCAGATCTCATAGGGGCCAAGAGGAAATGAGTTCTTTACAAACTGTGGTAGTGTATGTATACCACGAAGCTTCCCTTTAAAGGTATTTTTATTCCATTTAAATGTTTTGAGCAGGAGAGGTGGCTCAGCAGTTGAGCACTGGCTGCTCCTTCAGAGGACCTAAATTTGATTCTCAGCATCTACATGTGGCTTACAACTATTGATAACTCCTGTTCTGGCCTCTGCATGTACACGGTGTACAGACATACACACTGGCAAAACACTCCTACACATCAAATAAGGAAGTAAATAAAATTTTACAAGAATTTGTTTATTTGAGCCAGGCATGGTAGCACACACTTTTAATCCCAGCAGTCGAAAAGCAGAGGTAGTCGAATTTCTGTGAGTTCAAGGCCAGCCTGGTCTACAGATCGAGTTCCAGAACAGCCAGGGCTACACAGAGAAACCCTGTCTCAAAAACTATTACTTCAGAGAGGGACACACATAGCTTGTACCTTTGGAGGTTAGAGGACACCTTTGAAAACCCCTTTTCTTTGATCCCCAGGGATCAACTTCAGGTTATCAGGCTTGGCCACAGGCGTATACCTGCTGTGCTGTCTCGCCGACCCCATGTAAATCGTTTGAAAGCCGTGGTTCATGACGTTACCCCATCTTAGTGTTGTGTAACCATCACCACTGCATCTATTTCCAGAAATTCTCATCACGACAAACCAAAATTCTACACCAATCCAGGCAAAAATAATTCCTCATTCTGCCTGCCTGGCGCCTGGCACATGCCGCCTGCCCGCCCCCACCCCACGGCTCCTCTGCAGGCTTCGTTTCAGGCAGTTGGGCATTGATGCCTTTAACCTGTTGCTTAGCTTGCTGATGCTTTTTGAGACAGAGTCTCAAATGTGCAAAATGACTGCTTTGTAGCCCTGGCTAAAGCTCCAGCTTGCAATGATCTTCCTGCCTCAGCCTCTCAAGTACTGGAATGTCAGACACGCACCGCAATAACCACATTATTTCAATGATACCTATTTCTTCATATTTTACAGTGTTGGGATGGAACCAGATGTAAGCCAGGCTAAGCCACGCCCCCAGCCTCTCACTGGGGATCCTAGGCGGGGCTCCACCCAGAGCCACGCCCCTAGCCCCTCACTGAGGATTCTAGGCGGGGCTCCACCCTGACCACGCCCCCAGCCCCTCACTGGGGATTCTAGGCGGGGCTCCACCCAGAGCCACGCCCCCAGCCCCTCACTAGGGATTCTAGGCAGGGGCTCCACCCCTAACCACGCCCCCAGCCCCTCACTGGGGATTCTAGGCAGGGGCTCCACCCCTGAGCCACGCCCCCAGCCCCTCACTGGGGATTCTAGGCAGGGGCTCCACCCTGACCACGCCCCCAGCCCCTCACTGGGGATTCTAGGCGGGGCTCCACCCTGAGCCACGCCCCCAGCTCCTCACTGGGGATTCTAGGCAGGGCTCCACCCTGACCACGCCCCCAACCCCTCACTGGGGATTCTAGGCGGGGCTCCACCCCTGACCACGCCCCCAGCCCCTCACTGGGGATCCTAGGCGGGGCTCCACCCTGAGCCACGCCCCCAGCCCCTCACTGGGGATTCTAGGCGGGGCTCTTCTGCCAAGCCACACCCCAGAGCTTCTGAGGACCTATGATGCCCACCAGTGGTTGCTTCACAGGAGGGTGAGCTGGGGCCATTAGGCCGGGCCACTGGGGCTCAGCAGCCTGAAGACAGGGACCTGCCACTCACCAGTCCTGTGTTGTCTGTCCACTGGAAGTCCCTCTCCACGGTTCTGTCATTCAGGCCGATCCACGAGTTCTCATGTCCAAAGCCTGTTGGGAGGGAGGACTATGAGGGTACGCTCCTCCCCATTCCTGGAGGAAGGAGATGATGTCCGGGGGCCTTCTCTTTCCCGGACTAGAGGAGGCTGGAGGAGGGTGAAGTCTGAGGCTGGTGAGAATCACACAGGGAGGAGCCGGCAGGACATCGAGGGAGGGTGGGAAATAAGCATGGGGCCGCGAGTCAGGACGGGGAGGACGGGAGGGGGTCAGGAGGAACGGAGATGACCGCACTTAGGGGGTGAATGGGACGCGGGTGGAGGACAGAGCCCCACCCTGAGGAACAGGCAGTTTCTGTGGCAGGGAAGGCCTCAGCTTCCCGGAGCTCAGAGGTGGACCGCGGTGTGGAGCAGGACAGAGTAGGAAGTGGGTGCTGTAGCGCGGAGGTGAGGAAGGCCTGGAGCCCCTCCGGTCATGTGAGGGGAGGCGAACTGGGCAGCCCGGAAGGACAAATGTGGCACAGGTCCCGTCAGCTCTTTCTGGAAAGGCGAGGGTGGGGTCAGAGGCCACCCGGGCAGTGCTGGCTGGGGCAGGAGGGACAGCGTGAGCAGCCCGAACCAGAAGCCAGCACCATGGGTGGTCAGCCAGGTGCAGTGAGCCCCACAGTGCACAGGGACAGGGTCAGTGCCACGTGAAGAAACACCAACTGAAGCAATGAGTGCCACTTCCAGTTCATGCCACTCTGCAGAGACCCAGAGGCCTCCAATCCATTTGTCAATTACCATAGTGTTAATAATAGGGGTTGGGGATTTAGCTCAGTGGCAGAGCGCTTGCCTAGCAAGCGCAAGGCCCTGGGTTTGGTCCTCAGCTCCGGAAAAAGGAAGAAAAAAAAAAAAAATAAAGCCGGGCGGCAGTGGCGCATGCCTTTAATCCAGCACTGGGAGGCAGAGGCAGGTGGATCTCTGTGAGTTTGAGGCCAGCCTGGGCTACAGAGCGAGCTCCAGGACAGCCAGCCCTACACAGAGAAACCTTGCCTCAAAAACATATATATAACAATAATAATGATTTGAAATAATACAATAAAGCATGGAAGTAATCCAAGCACCAGGCGACACATCACCTACTTAGACGTGCGTGATGGTCAAATTCCTCAGCCCCTCGTGAGTGTCACTTCCTAATGACACACTTGTCTCACTGCATATTTCAGGACCTGACACAAGCAGGGGATAACAGGCGTGCAGAGACTGGGGAGCATCAGTGAACTAACGCGGGACTCAACAGATGTGTGACGGTCAGGGAGGTGCCAGTGGGCTTCTAAAGTCTCCAGGGCTCCCCCAGCTCACCACACTGTCCCTACCGTTAATGAACTTGTGCTCCTCTGGCGAGTGGACACTTGTCAGGTGGCCAGCCCGGCGCCTGCAGTCTCTCTCTGCATCCTCCCAGGCACGCCGATGGGCAAAGTACCGGTAGCAGTGACCCTGGAATTTGTGCCAGCCACGATCACAACCTTCTGTGTCTGGGAGGTGGGACAGGAATGTGAGGTAGGCTAGTTACCTCCCAGGCGGCAACACACGTGATGCCCAGACGTACATGCAGTCACAACACCCAAACACACACACAAAAATAGATTAATTAAAAAAATTTAAATTACAGAGATCCGCCTGGGCTACCAAGTGAGCTCCAGGAAAGGCGCAAAGCTACGCAGAGAAACCCTGTCTCGAAAAACCAAAAAAAAAAAAAAAAAAAATTTAAATTAAAAAAAAAAGTAGCTTGGTGGCAGTGGCACACACCTTTAATCCCAGCACTCGGGAGGCAGAGCCCGAAGGATCTCTGTGAGTTCGAGGCCGGCCTGGTCTACAGAGCAAGTTCCAAGACAGGCACCAAAACTACACAGAGAAACCCTGTCTCAAAAAAGAAAGAAAGAGAGAGAGAGAGAGAGAGAGAGAGAGAGAGAGAGAGAGAGAGAGAGAGAAAGAAAGAAAGAAAGAAAGAAAGAAAGAAAGAAAGAAAGAAAGAGAAAGAAAAGATAGATAAATAAAATAAAAAATAGATAGGGCTCGCCAGACACTTCAGTAGATGAGGGTGCTTACCACCACACCCAGCGAGCAGACTAGACACGATCAAAGGAGGAAGTTGAGTCCTGAAAGTTTTCCCGACCTCCACACGCATGCCATGGCATACACATGCCCCATACCATGCACATACACAGAACACATAAGTTTTAAACTATATTAAATAAATAATAAAACTAATCTACACCCTGTGGGACTCAGCCAGACTCAGAGGAGACTTGGGCGTGTCGGGGCAGGGACTCACCCTTCTCACACAGGCTGCCCCCGTAGCTGGGGAGGCAGAGGCAGAGGAAGCCGTTCACCTCATCGATACAGGTGCCTCCGTTCTCACAGGGGCTGCTCAAGCAGTCATCGATGTCTGGGAGACATGGATAGTTAGGGGTCAGAGGTCAGCCTCCACTCAGACCGCAGGGACAGATGGGTCAAGGTCCTCCTGACCGTCCCCTGGGCACCCATAGGGATGGTGGGACAGCTCTGCAGCCACGAGGGGAGGCTGAGAGGCACGAATGGCAGCGGCGCCACAGGACAGACGAGTGGGACCTCGTCAGGGACGGACGAGGCCTCGGGGACCTGCAGCCTGAAAGTGCTTCCTTTGCACAACTGAAAGGGCCCCTGAGCGCCACTGGCAGTGTTTGCAGAGAGAACCAGGCAATTCAGTTAACCTCTGTATCACCTAACTCCACAAGGACACGCACACACGTGCACACACATGCACGCATGCACACGCATGTGTGGGAGGCTAGAGGCCAAACTGAGATGCTGTTACTCCGTTGTCACTCTTGGATTTTTGAAATACAACATTTAAAAAAAGATATTTATTTTGTTTTTTGTGTGTGGGTTTTTTGTTTTGTTTTGTTTGTTTGTTTTTTGGAAAGGGTCTATCTTTCTATACAGCCCTGGCTGTCCTGAACTCTCTCTGTAGACCAGGCTGGCTTTGAACTCACTGAGATCCACCTGCCTCTGCCTCCCGAGTGCTGGGATTAAAAGTGTGCACCACCATGCCTGGTCCTCATTTGTGTTTTTAGTTACGACTCTATAATTCCTAGTGTGGCTGTGAAGTCAAGCAGAGGATGCACAGTGATCAAGAAATCACACCATTGGGCCTGAAGAGATGGCTCAGAGGTTAAGAGCACTGGCTGCTCTTCCAGAGGACCCAAGTTCAATTCCCAGCACCCACTTGGTGGCTCACAACCATCTGTAACTCCAGTTGCCTTCTGGCCTCTGCAGGCAATGCACACATATGGTGCAACAGACATACACGCAAGCGAAACACCCATAAATATAAAATAAAAATAAATCTTTAAAAAAAGAAATGTCACCATTTATACTTAGTGTTGTAATCTCAATTTAGCGGTATGAGTGGTGCCCACACTGTTGTCCACCTAGATGAGGGGAGCCTCCCAGAGCCTTTGCTTGCTGGGGGTCGCCTGACCCTTCTGTTGTCCCCTCCTAACCTCTAACGCTCATGGTGGGAAACGACTCTCCAGGGCTACAGCCCCCAGGCCACAGCCCCTCAGCTGACTAGTTTGGGCTCAGCTAATTTCGGTTGATTCACCTGACCCACAGCACAGGGGGCAGGACAGCGCTCGGCTGGGACACTCACCAATTTCACAGTTCTCCCCAGCATAGCCCTGATCACAACTACAGCCGTACATGGTGCCGTTGGTGCGACAGGTGCCCCCGTGCAGGCAAGGGTTGTTCTCGCAGGCATCTGTGGGGTCTGTGGGATGGACAGGCACTGTGAGGACGGACCGGCCACCACGTCGTCGTCTTTCATGGAATCCAGAAACTAGTCCTTGTCTGTGAAGTCCCCTCTGTTGCCTCCCCAATGAACAATGGCTCGCATGCTTTGTGCTACAGACCTTACCACTTTCAAGAATTGCACCACAGCATCTGTGGGATGCCCTGCTCACAGTGAAGTTCTCTCTCAGGTCACACTAGACTCACCAGCCCAGTGAGTTGACCCAGGGACCAGAAGACAAAGTTGCAGCATTTAATTCTCTTTGTCACTCTGTGGGTCTCGGGGCTTGGACTCACGTCCTCAGGCTTGGCGGCAAGCACCTTTGGCCACTGAACCTCACCAGCCCCACCAGGTTCCTTTCGTACTCACTGATTTTTGTCTCTCTCTCTGAGAGCAGTGACATTCCATATGGCAACCACACTCACTCACGCTTAAATTAATTAAAATGAGATGATGCATGCACTTCTATGAGCCACGTGTCAGCTTGACCACTCAGAGAATGTTGTTGTAGAATATCAGCTAGCAAGGCCCAGGACACAGCAGGTGTGCAATCACTGCTGGCCAGCTGTCCTGCAGTGCTGAGACATCTGTCCCTGGGGCAGTGACACCGGGAAACAGGGGGGTCTGATCTGTGTGATGTGCCTGCTGAAGTCCCAGCCCTGTGTAAGCATGTCTGGGACAGAGGGTGACATGAAACTCTTGACAGCCACCAGGTTGCCCCATCACAACACCTACCCATGGCTGGCACTGACTCAGCTGAGCTGGTGTATTTTTGGCTTTATTAGCATCTGTGCTGTGGGTGTCTTGCCACCCTCCCACCACAGCCACCTTCCGCCACCCGGTGACTGCAGACCCTCTATTTAACTTTCCTCCAGATGTTGCCACAGCCTCTGACCGCCCAGGCTGCCACTGTGTGTGTTGCACAGCCTGTACTCGGCATCCTGCAGGCTCCTCTTCTCCTCTCCTCTTTCGTTCTATTTCCCTTCCCTCCTCCCTGTCTCCCTTCTTCCCCCACTCCATCTTTATACAGTCTCATGTAGCAATCCGGGTTGTCCTGGAACTCACTTCTTAGCCGAGGCTGACTTCTGACCTGTGACCCCTGCCTTTACCTCCTCAGTGCCAAGCCCAACTCACGACTCACAAGCTCTGGTTTTTGTTTTTCTGTCCGAGTTCCAGCTCCAGCTGCAGCTGCATGAACACACTAAGTTCTCAGATATCCCTGTGCCTCAGTCTCCCCTCACACAAGAGCTTGTCCCATGAGATGTTACAAAGTTGAACCATTCTGCCATTCTGTCTGGGAACGGGAACACATGCCCATGATCCTCACACTCAGGAAACTGAGGCAGAAGGGTTGGTGAGATCTCTAGGCCAGCCTGGGCTACAGAGTGAGATCCTGTCTAAAAAAAGGGGGTGCGGTGTGGGGGGGTAATTCTGTGGACATGGCTCAGACCTGAGTTCAATCCTCTGCATCCACTTCAAAAAACCTGGGTGGGGCTGGGCATGGTGGCACATGATTTTAATTCAGGCACTTGGGAGGCAGAGGCAAATCTCTGTGAATTTGAGGCTGGCCTTATTGATCTACACAGCAAGTTCCAGGCCAGCAGGGCTACAGAGTGAGATCCTGTCTCAAAGTGGGAGGGGCCTGAAAAGATGGTTCAGCAGTTAAGAGCACACTGTTCTTGGTAGTTTGATTCTCAGCATGCACACGGCAGTTCACAACCATTGGTAGCTCTGGTTCTAAGGGATCCCCATGGGCACTAGGCACATTTGCAGTGCACATACATGTGGTCACCCCCCCCCAAAAGATAAGTGTGTGCCTGCAGTCCTAGCTCTGGGGAGATGTGGACAGAGGGATCCCAGGGCTTACTGACTAGCCAATATAGCTCGATTGGCAAGTTCATAGGCCAGTGAGAGACCTTGTCTTCAAACACAAGATGGAGACCTGGCATGGTTGGAGAACTGGCATGGTTGCTCAGCAGGTGAAGATGCTTAATGCTAAGATGATGACCTGAGTTTGATTCCTGGAACTCACGTGGTAGAAGGAGGGAACCCAGTCCCAAAATTGTCCCCTGACTTTCATAAGAGTGCCATGGCATGCATATACTCATGTGCATGCACACACATTAAACAAAAATAATAAAAAAATAAACAAGAGGGACAGTGCCTGAGGACAGGCACCTCTGGACCGTACATGCATGTGTTTATATGTGTACCTACACACATGTGCACTTGCATGCACATAACAAAAAATAAATGAATTTTAAAAAACAGGCTGGGTGTGGTGGTCTGAGTAAGAACGCCCCCCTTAGGCTCACAGATTTGAAGGCTTAGTCAGCAGGGAGTGGCACTGCTTGAGAAGGATTAGGGGGTGTGGCCTTATTGGAGATAGTGTGTCATCACTGGGGATGGGCTTTGAGGCTGTAAAATGCCCATGCCAGGCCCAGTTCTCTTCTCTGCTTGTATGCCAGGATGTAACTCTTACCTACTGCTCCAGCCCTATGCCTGCCACCATGATGATAATGGACTAAGCCTCTGAAACTGTAAGCCAGCCCCAATTAAATGCTTTCTTTTATATGAGTTGCCGTGGTCATGGTGTCTCTCCACAGCAATAGGACAGTGACTCAGACACTGGGCATGATGGCATACAACTGACATTCCAGCATTCAGAGCTAGGGCAGGAGGGCTGTCAGCAGTTCAAGGCTACCCCGGGTTACACAGTGGCCACGCAGGCAGTGTCGTTGGTCACTGAGCCTGCTCCCGCCTCCCCTTCTCCTCAGGGCTCCAGCCCCTGCCATCTCCAAGACTAAGTCAATCCAGCTCTGGTTCCTGCCCATCCTAGATACTTCTTGAACCATGTCCTGTCCTTCCTACTCTGCCTGGGATGCAACCAGATCCAGTAGTCTTCTACAGACATCAAAATTGTTGAAGGTAGGACCTTGGCATCACATTGTCCTGTTCCTCAAAGTGATCTATCTGCATATTTGGAAATTGAACTCCCCCCAAATTCAATTCCCCAAGTGCTTCATGGAACCCATGCTTTGGTCAATGTCCATATTCCTTGAGTGTTAGAAGGGTCCAGTGTGAGCCAGACAAGGTGATGGATGCTTTTATCCCAGGACTCGAGAGGCAGAGGCAGGTGGAACTCTGTGCACTCAAGGCCAGCCAGGTCTACATAGCCAGTTCATTACCAGCAAGGGCTATATAGAGAGACCCTGTCCAAACAACAGCACAAAACAACACAGAAATGCCCAATGTAACTTGCCTCCTGACCTCTGACCTTTAGCATCATCCTTTGTTAGAAAATTCCAGCCCTCCCAGGGCATTTCCCCTGCTCAGGGAAGCCCCAGCTTCCAGTCCCCAGGTCCTGGCCACACTAGGACAGATGGAGAATCCAGGACTTACCCTCCTGCCCGCTGGCCACCTCTTCCCAGAAGTTCTCCAATCCTGGACTCCCGGCCACAACATTCAGGTCTGATTCATCCAACCCCAGGGACACAGGCATCAGGGTGCTGGGGGTGTCCCACAGCCCAGTGGGCTCCCCCGAGGAAACTGAGGTCATTTCATCCATGCTGGAGGCCAGGGATGACCATGGATGAGAAGGTAGACTGCTGTGAGGCCCTGGTGACCCCTGGGCCACCATCTGGTCCTGTGGCTCTGGGTGGTCTTGGGAGCTTGTGGAGGTCAGTGTAGGCACACCCTGAGCTCCAGCCATGGTCCCTTGGTCCATGCTTGGACTCACAGCCACATGGGTGCTAGAAATGGAACTTTTAGGTTCCAACCCCCAAGTGGCATCAGCACCTCTGGGGACCAGCTCCATGGTGGCCTTCCTAGGACCCTCAGGGGTGCCTCCCTCCAAAGTCACTGTAGGTTTCACACTCACGGTGACTCCATGGCCTCCCAATGGTGAGGACTGGGAACCAGTGTTCAGTCCCTGGCTGGGCAGTGGTAGCCAGGTGGACAGCACCTTGCTCATAGTGGCCTGTCCACTGGATGTGGGACTCGCTGATATGTCCAAGACCCCAGACTCAGTCCCTAGGATGCCAGCATCAGAGGGTACAGGACTGACAGTCACATTACTGGAGTCCAAGGATACCCATGGGCCAGAGCTGGGGTGCTTGGTAGCCTGGATGGAGTTGACACCCCCAATTTCTTTAGAATCTGTAGCAGGGTGTTTGTGGCTGGCTTCCACCGGGGCATCCATAGTGGTCTGAGATGGGGTTTCAAGGCCTTCTGCCCCAAGGCTGATGGGCGCGGCAGCGATGAGAGCCCCATCCTGTTCTTCTGGGTGCCAGGAGGGGAGTGGAGAAGCTGGGGACGGAGGAATGGGAGTCACACTGGGGACGAATGTGGAGTGTGGCAGGAGCCACAGTTTGGGGGCGCGAAGCATCGCTACAATGGGGAAGTCTGGAGAGGTGTCATCAGGGGACGCCTCATCGTAGACAACACTTGGGGCCTCCGAGGGGCTGGAAGGAGGAACAGGAGGCTCTGAGGGAGACCAGGGCAGGTGGCGGAGGGTTGATTTAACAATGGGGGCTTCTGCTGTCCCTGGCTTCAGGCCATGGTCACGGTCAGGGCTTGTGACAGCAGGTGAGGTCAAAGACGGAGCCCACATCCAGGGCTCTGAAGGGCTCCTGCTGCTGCCATGGGAACCTGTGACATCAAAGGAGTTCTCGTTAGCAGGGCCTGGCGACACACACTGGTGGTCCCAGCACTTGGGAGTGGAGGCAGGAGGATAAACATTTAAGGGCAGCTGCACTACACAGAGGCACAGCCTCCAGAGATGTGGCGAACAAGCCCGCTCCGTGCGTTAGGAGATAGGAGAATCTGGGCTTCAGAGTCATCCTTGGATACATGGAAGTTAGAGGCCAGCCTGGGCTACATGAGAAGTTGTCTTAACACACCCTCCCCAGCAAACAAACAGTAAAAGCTAAGTGTGTCAGCACACACCTGTCATCTTAGTGCTCAGGAGACCAAGGCAGGAGGATTGCTTTGAGTTCCAGGCCAGCCTTGGGTACAGAGTGAGACTCTGCCTCAAAACACAAAACTCAGGGTTGGATGAGGGATCCAGAGGATAATGTGTTTGCTATGAAGACAGGAAAACTTGAGTTCGGATCCACAGCACTCCCATAAAGCTGGCCACAGCAGCCCTGGTCTTTAACTCCAGTTCAGGGGGAGCGGGGAGGGGAGGGAGCCCAGGTCTAGTGAGAGAACTGCCTCAAAAACTAAGGTGGAGGAGCAGCCCGGCGGTGGTGGCACACGCCTTTAGTCCCAGCACTAGGGAGGCAGAGGCTGGTGGATCTCTGTGAGTTCGAGGCCAGCCTGGTCTACAGAGTGAGTTCCAGAGAAACCCTGTCTCGAAAAAACAAAAAACAAACAAACAAACAAAAAAACCTAAGGTGGAGGGTCATAAAGGGAGACACTTGAAGTTGACCTCTGGACTCCACTAGCTTGTGTGCATGCACCCACCTTCACACACACTCACTCACACCACACACACACACAGACACACACACTCACATACCACACACACACTCACATACCACAGACACTGCACACACCACACACACTCACATACCACAGACACTGCACACACCACACACACTCACATACCACAGACACTGCACACACCACACACACTCACATACCACAACACACACACACACACACACACACACTCACATACCACATACACTGCACACACCACACACACACTCATATAAACACACTCACACACGCACACACAACAAAATGGGTATTTGGAGGCAGGACTATGGCAAGGTTGGGGGCGCTGGAACAATGTGAGTCTTACTAACCCTTCCTTTCTCCCCAGGTCACTCACCTGTCCCTGGCACGTCCACTTCGTTGGTCAGAATGGCCCAGGGACTGTGACTGTGGCTCTGGTCACTCTCCGAGGCCTCTGTGGTTGCAGAAGGCCCCAGGAAGTCAGCAGTAACTTCCAGAGTCGGAGGCTGGGCACTGGCCTCTGCTGTCCCAAGGAGCTGGCCCTCAGTGCCCTGTTGCTGGAAGTGCCGACCATTTAACCCTTTGAAGCGGCCCCTCCTCGCCATGGGGGTGGAGGCTACCTGTGTGCCCGAGGGTGTCGTCTCTGCCATATCCACTCCCAGGCTGCTGGGGCTGGGGACACCTGTGAGCACCCATGAAGCCAGAGTGGGACCACGTGGGGTAGGGCCAGGGGTCCTCTGAGGCTCCTGTGTCCATGTCGAGTCCAGGGGTTCGTCTTCTCCACTGGACAGGAGAGGTTCCTGGAACTCAGGTGCTGCCTCCTCCCTCAGGCTGGGCTCCAGTTCTTGGGCTGGGGGTCCCTCTGCTGACACAATCTCCCCGTCATCTCCAGAAGAGGGGGTCTCCGGGTCTCTGTGCTGTGGTGTAAGGTGATGAGCTATAGAAAAAGCAGCAGTGGTTGAGGTGGCCCAGGCGCAGCCAGGAGAGTGAAGTGGTGGGAAGCCCCACCCAGGGCGGGATTGCTAGGGTTAAGGCATCTCAGGGAAACAGAGCCCAAGGGGAGAATTCTCCAGTGCCCCGTCCACTAGTGTGGTGTCTTCTTGTCTATCTGCAGCCCAGGCTAACCTGGAAAATCAATATATAGCCCAGGCTTACCTCAAACTCCCAGAGACCCTCCTGCCTCAGCCTTCCAAATGCTAGGTGACACAACAGTGGCCCAGCAGTGGCCACATCAAAGGAAAGACCCATCTGAGGAGGAGGGACTCTCCCCCAGAGGGGATGCTTGTCACAGAGTTTCCATGGAGACATGGGCATGGGAATGATTTTATTATTTTGTTTCTGGCTTTTTGAGACAGGATCTCATGTAGCCCAGACTTGCCCTGAACTGATTAGGTAGCCCAAGATGATGTTAACATTTCTGATTCTTTTGCCTCTCTGTCCCAGGCCCTCAGGTGCACACCTGGCTTTATCTGGTGATGGGGACGGCTGAACCACAGCCACAGCCAAGAACAATATAAAGGAGTGCTTGTGGACCCGGCACTGGAGGCAGAAGCAGGTGCGTCCCTGAGTTCAAGACCAGCATGGTCTACATAAAGAGGCCCAGGCCAGTCAGAGCTGCACACTGAGACCCTGTCTCAAGAGAAACAAGTAAATGAAAGCTGGTAGGGAGGTGGCCTTCACTAGCCTGTATCTAGAAGCATGTCCACAGAAGACTCAGCCATGGAGCATGCCCACCATCAATGGTCCTGGTAGGGTTATGGGATGTGGCCTCCAATGATTCTGACATATGGCCTTCACCTACTGCTGATGGGCTCAAGGGAACATAACTAATGGCATGTGGTTTGTTCCACCCAATGCAGATGATGGGACACGCTCATGGCGGCATGGCCATAACCAAGCTTTCCTGGTGCGTCTGTGGTCCCAAGGGAACACATCCACAACTGAGTAGCTGCAGGGGTTGGCCCAGGTGTACGTGGTCGGGCAGGGACACCACCTGGGGGCGTGGCTCAGTCAGACACTCCTAACTGGGGGACCAGTCTGGATGACGCACACCCACGCAGGGTGGCCCAAGACAATGGCTGTGGTGGATGTGGCCCTCAGCACCCCCCATGGGGGCATATCATAAACGCACCTCGGAAGCAGTAGGCGTCGAAGCGTGCTCCAGGCGCAGGAAAGCCGGTGCGGTTAGCAAACCGGTATACTGTGCGCACACCCGGGGCGGGACCCCCACAACGCCGTCGCGGCGTCTGGATCGGGTAGCGCACGCTGCCATCTGCCAGCCAGCCAGGGTCGCACTGGTCCAGGCCCTCGTGCCAGGCCAGGTGCAACTGGCCCACCGAGGCTAGCGCCGCGCCCTGCCGCTGACATTGTGCCCGCGCGCCTGCCAGAGTCAGTCGGCGGGCGGGGCCCACGTAGAAGACCTCGCCTGGGAGAGGGACAGGGTGGAGGTCAGAAAGGGGTGGGAAAAGGGGTGAAGCTCGGAACTGAGGACGGGAAGCTCAGGGCCCGGGTCCTGGCTCCAGCTTTGGAGAGCTGTGAGGGGACTTAGAGGGACTTGGGGGCTGGAGAACACCTGGCACTCAGGGAGAGGTGGCCTGGGTTCCAAGTGCAGCTTTGGAGGGCACTGAGACTTCGGAGAGATTCGTGTGGGTTTAGGGAAGTATGAGGACTGGGAAAGCACCTGACACTCAAGGACAGGTGGCCACGGGGTCCCAGCCGCGCTCCCCTTACCCCCTAGCTCGCGGGCAAAGCAATAGACATCGTAGAGTTCCTGCGGGTCGCGTCTCCCATAGCTCCGAACCCCAGGTAGACTGCTGCGGTCACCGTAGCAACCAGGACGCGACTGGGTGATGGGATACCTGACGGTGGGAGGGGAGTGGCTGTCAGACCCGTGCTCCCGGAGCCCCTTCCTCCAGGAGCGACCCCGTCCCAAGCCTCCCGCGCACCCCCTCACCGAACCGTGCGGTCTGAGAGCCAGCCCGCGTCGCAGTTGTCAAAGCCGTCTTCGAAGGCAGCCTGCAGGTGCCGCGGGGCGGCGATGGTGGCTGAGCTCAGGCGGCAGGCCTCCTGGGCTTCAGCGAAGGTCAGTGCGTAGCGATCCCGGGCCGCCCGGTAGTGGAACACGACGCCTGTGGGGTCGGAGCCGGGAGGCCGGGGAGAGGCTTATGGTGGAATCTTAAGAGAACAGACCTCCCTCGAACAGACTTTTTTCTCCCAACTTTTTATTTATTTGTTTGTTTGTTTTTAGTAAAACCAAAACTTACTCTAAGCCACAGTCATCCTAGGGTCCCCCCTGCCATATAGCCTCCCTGGATCTGTGGGTTGCAGTCTGATTGTTCTTTGTTGAGCAGACTTTTTTAAAAGATGGTCTTGCTGGACCGTCGTGGCACAGGCCTTTAATCCCAGCATTCAGGAGTCAGAGGCAGGCGGATCTCTGAGTTCAAGGCCAGCCTGGTCTACAGAGTGGGTTCCAGGACAGCCAGGGCTACATAGTGAGACTGTGTCTCAAAACGAACAATGAAACACACACACACACACACACACACACACACACGCACACGCACACGCACACGCACACGCACACGCACACACAAAAGACATTGTCTCATGTAGCCCAGGCTGACTTGAGACTCACAAAGCTTCACCCACCTCTGCTTGTGAATTCACCCCCACACCCAGATCGGTTTTTCTTAATCAATGCACGTGTTAACTGACGTTTTAAAGATAGGCTCACTTAACCTTTTAAAAGAGATTCGTATTTGGGGGCTAGAGAGATGGTTCCACAGTTGAGTATTTTTGCTCTTCCAGAGGACTCAGGTTCGATTCCCAGCACCCACATGGTGGCTCACAACCATCCATAACTCCAGTTCCATGGGATCCATGGCCTCTTCTGCTCTCTGTGGCACCAGGGCCACACCTGGTGCACAACATACATGCAAAGCATCCAAGCACATAAAATAAAAAAGTAAAGTTTTTTTTTTTTTGAAACAGGGTTTCTCTGTGCAGCCCTGGCTGTCCTGGAACTCACTCTGTAGACCAGGCTGGCTTCGAACTCACAGAGATCCGCCTGCCTCTGCCTTTTGAGTGCTGGGATTAAAGGTCACAGGACAACTTGTAAGGTGAACCGGAGTCTGGGCCTCAGGCTTGCTCCTCCCCTCCCGACTAAGCCCCTCCCCTTCCCTGTCAGCTCCTCCCTCTCCAGTCTGACTTCCCCTTCCACGCTCAGCCCCTGTTCCATCCTAGCCCCCTCCCTTCTTCCTCAGGCCCTCCCCTCTGTGCTAGCCCCCTTCTCCTTGGCTCCTTCCCTGCTGTCTCCTCACCCCTGCACACTAGCTCCTCCCCTTCTGTCCTGGGCACCTCATCTCCATCCTCAGACCCTCTCTTTCCAGCTTCCTCTTCCTTCCTTTGCCCCTCCTCCCGGCCTCAACCCTTCCCCTTCATCCTAGGCTCCACCCCTTTCATCTCTGACCTGCCCATTACCTGCTGCCAACTCACCTGTCACCTCCAGGGTCACCAGGTCCTGCTCATCCTCGATACCCCTCACCACTTGGCAGCGATACAGCCCAGAGTCACTGGCCCGAAGTGGCCCCAAGAGAAGCGTAGCATTGGTTCTGTGCCGGGGATAAGCAGGCAGTGACACCCGCCCCTGCCAGCCCTTGGCCACACGCACCACGTTGTCCTTGGCCACCAAGATGGGCAAATCCTGTCGCTGGCCTGATGCAGTGCGAACCTTGGTCCACTTGATTCGAGGGACGTCTCGAAGGGTGCCTAGCAGTGGCTGCCAGGAAAAGAGGCACGGCAGGGCCACCAGCTCGGCAAGGGCGGCGCGGATGGGCCCCGAGCCTGACATCAGCATGTGAAGCCCCTTCTCCGCGGTGACGGTGTCCTGTGTGTCTGGAATGGAGAGGGGACCTGAATCAGAGGCGGGGGCAGCAGGACACTAACATTTCTTGTTCTGGAGGATTGTTTTCTTTTTTTTTTTTAAGATTTATTTGTTTGTTTGTTTGTTTATTTATTTATTATGTATACAGAGTGGGCGCCAGATCTCATTACAGATGGCTGTGAGCCACCATGTGGGTGCTGGGAATTGAACTCAGGACCTCTGGAAGAGCAGTCGGTGCTCTTAACCTGTGAGCCATCTCGCCAGCCTGTTTTCTCTTTTTCTTTCACTAACCTTGTTTTGCTTTTTGAGACAGTGCCTCACTATGTAGACCTGGAACTCACCACACAGACCAGGCTGGCTCAAACTCAGAGGTTCTCCTGCCTCTGCTTCCCTAGCGTGGGATTAAAGGCGTGCACTACACTCAGCTACACTAACACTTTACAGAGAGATGGAGGCCGGAGAGGCCAGGCTGTCCACACAGTGTCACAGTGCAAAAAGGGACTGCTGGCCAGGCCACTCATGGGTCTGTCTCTCTCGGTAGCATTCCAAGGCTGCTTAGATGGACGAATGCGGCAGTCATTGACTCTGGCTTGCTGTGTGGCCCTGGGAAAATCCCTTCCCTTCTCTAAGCCTCAGACGTTAAGCCAGAGGCAGACACTGGAAGCTGTGTTTGTTTCTTTCCTTTTTTTCTTCTGGTTTCAGACAGGGTCACCTGTAGCACAGGTTGTCCTCAAACTTGCTGTATAGCCCAGGATGACCTTGCACTTCTCATCCTCCTGTTCTATTGGCCAAATGCTTGGGATTACAGAGGCGTGCCACTATGTCGGGTGAGTGAAGTCAAGTCATTGAATACCCATAACCATCCGCAGTGGTAAAGGCTTGTCTTCTTTTAGGGACATTAGGAAACTGAAGATCAGAGAAACAAATATGCTTGCCTATGGCCACAGAGAAACTCAGTAAGGGATTCATAAGGTCTGGAACTGACCACCATTGGGGAGATCCTAGGGGAGGCCCACAGGCCTTCCTGCCCCTGTCCCGCCTGTGGCAGGCATCAGTGCCGACCCATGCTGCTGTCTCTCCCCCACCTTTCTTTTTCAGATCATTTCAGCAAAAGACAGTGAGAGGCGGGAACCTCCGGCCTCTGCCGGTTATAGCTAAAAATAACCTCTCAGGTGCCTTGTTTCCCTTTGACTACTCAAAGACTGGTTTCAGCTATTCTTGTTTTATTTTGCAGACCCAGCTAGAGGACCAGCAGGAGATGGTTCTGGAATGAAAAGGCCTCATCCCATCCTGCTGACCCCTGGTTGACAGCAGATTCCCACCCCCAGCCCCACAGGCCCCACTCACCCTGGTCCCCAGCCACCAGGAGCAGCAGCCTCAGCACCAGCAGGCCTGAGGCCCAGGCAGATGTGGCCCCCATACTGGAGCTAGGGGCAAAGGAGAGGGAGGAAGGGTGAGTCATGGCAGAGACCCTCCCCGAGCCCCGAACATGGAGGAAACAGAACTCAGAAAGGCCAGCATGTCGGTGAAGGTCACAGAGCACGGAAAGCAGGGGCCACGCGGGATTTGAACCCAGAGCATCTCACTTCAGAATCCAAGCAGTGGGGCAGAGTGCAGCTCAGTGGTGGGGCACCTGCTGAGCTCACGGGCCTGGGTTCCGCCCAGCACCCTCCAGGCTTACACAGCCTTGGGTTCTCTTCCCAGTCCTTGCCACACTCCTGTGGGGACCCCACTTCTGGCCCCTGACCCTGAGGCTGGGGCTTCAGTGCTGCATATCACTCCATGCTGGGTTTGGTGGCTCACACAGTCTCACATCTCAGCCCTGGAGGCTGGAGACAGAATCTGCACAGGTTTAGACCAGCGTGATCCGCACAGCAAGTTCTATGTCTGCCTCTTCCTTGCTGTGTGACTTTAGCAAGGAGCTTAGCTTCTTTCTGCCTCCCTTTCCCTATGGGTCAGATGAGGATAACAGCTGCCTGAAGGGATGGTGAGTCAACTTATACACAATGCTTCCAGCAACTCTCTTGAAGGAGAACATCTCAGCTGTGGCTAATATTATCATTAAACTTCACACTGCCAAGTCTGAAATCCTGTGAGTTTCCACCACTGGATTGGGAGCTCCTAAAGGAAGCAGTGGGTCCTTATCCTTTTGGGGGCCCCCTCTGCCCTGGGGCCATCCTCTCCAGAGGGGCTGTGTCCCATCCGGCATATGGTAGGCAATTATTAAATGCCTGTGAGTGATTTCTACCTCGGGTGCCTAAAATAAATCCATTCCCCAGAGATTCTTCAACAAAACTTTGGCCTTCTCTCAGCTCAGGCCCCTCACAGGGGACTGGAGAGGGTAAGTCACAGGGCCACTCGCAAACCCGCTCTTCAGCCTATCACAGAAGAGCAGGCCCTTGTGGGTGAGGTCTCCAGAGGCCTTGAAGAGCTCAACTTCCTCTGCTCTCCGATTTTCCAGGCACTAGCCGATATGCCTGCCGTGGACCTGTCCTTGGTGCTGAACCCTGAGCCTGGCCTGCCTGAGCACCCAGAGAAGGCTAGTTGTTTGTTTTGGAATGCACAGCAGAGGACAGGCTACCAACCTGCAAATGTCTACAACCTCCAACTTCAACCTAGACGATCCCCATTCTTCCCCTGGAACCCTGAGCCAATGTGAAGTACACTAATGGTGAGATTACCCCCTCAGGATTTTAGGAGAGATCAAGGCCAGAAAATGTGTGTTCTCTCATTCTCTCTCTCTTTCTCCCCAGCCTTCTCCACACAATTGAGTTCACATGGGTGTGGTGGCCAAAGACTGCCATCCCAGCACTTGGAAGGTGGAGGCAGGAGGATGAAGGATTTGAGGCTACCCTGAACTTCATTTTGAATTTAAAGTCAACCTGACTACATGAGACCCAGTCTCAAAAAAAAAAAAAAAAAAAAAGAATCCATCTGGGTGTGGTGGCGCACGCCTTTGATCTCAACACTCAGGAGACAAAGGCAGTGGATCTCTGAGTTCGAGGCCAGCCCAGTCTACAGAGTGAGTTTCAGGATAGCAAGGCTACACAGAGAAACCCTGTCTCAAAAACAACCCCAAAAGAATCCATGTCACATTCTACCTACTGAACCTCCATGCAACTCTGCATCAGGGGTCTTATTCCCCCATACCTCAGTTTCCCCACCTGTAAAATAAGCTCCATCCAGTCCAGACCCTCTGAAGTTATCGGGAAGGAGCAGGCTAAGACTTGTAAAATTATATCAAATTTAAGAACAGCTCTTTGTATACAAAACCTTGGGAACACCCTAAAATACCCCCAGGTAGCCCAACACAGTGACAGACACAATGTCAGCCTCATGCTCCTCCTTAATACCTTCTGTCTCCCTACCGCTCACACTCTCACACACCCACAATCTTCTCTTAAAATACTTCCTCCCCTGGGCCGCCAGAGGTAAGTGGCAGCATTTGGGCTGAGGTCTGGGCCCACCCCCTCATGAATGATGCATTAGCCTCATGTATATGCAAGCAGGGGCCTGCAGGGGAAAGGGGAGACACTTTCAAGTGTATGTGTGCGTGTGCGCGCGCGCGCGCGCGCGTGTGTGTGTGTGTGTGTGTGTGTGTGTGTGTCCGTCCCATTCCCACCCACCCTGTCTCTTATCTCTCCACCGAGTTGGAGCTCGGCACTAACCATCTAGTGTCACTGGGTGTGCGACTGCATCTGTGGTGCTGTGTCTGGGCAAGGGTATACCTGTCTGCACCCTATGGTGTGGGGACATCAGTTACACGAGCTTCAGGAGGATTTCTGGTCCTGGGCAAAGGCCACACACATTCACACACACACACACACACACACACACACACACACACACACACTTGCAGACACTGTGCATTCCTGGCCTGAGACTCACACTGGATTTGTGTGCACAAGCATGAACATGGAATACTGTGTAGGAAAAGAGAAGCCAAGCTGGAGATCCCCACCCCTCCCACTGTGATTCCTCAGCCTTGCACCCCCATGCTCTGGATCACCTGTTCCTATTCACAAAACACACCCCAGACATACACCCCAGGAGAGACACGCACGGCGACTTCCAGGGACAATGACAAAGAGAACTCATGCAGGCGCTCACTGGGTAGGCTGTGCGGCCGCTACACAAAGACACCCACAGTCTGGAGCCCTCTGCTGAAGCCCCCAATGATCAACCACCAGGTCTGGCTCCTCCCACAGGCTGCCACACCAGCCCTGAGTACAGACCGGGATGCATGTGGCCTTGGTGTCCGATGCATGGCCACTGGTAATGTGGTCCCCATCACAGTTTTGAAACAAAAGACACTAACTGCAGTTGTATCAGCCACAGGAGACCCCAGGGCCCCTGATTATGCCTCTCCTCATGGCATGATGACACACAAAGACCCCCACAAAAGGGGTGGGAACCTTCCCTATTCCCCTGTGGGGATGTTCAGGGGCCACTGAGACTGCCAGGATCTGGGGTAGCACAGTGCATGCATTCATCCCATCCCAACATGCCCAGCTTGGGACATCGCCCACCTTGGCCTGCCTCAGCCTGGCTTCATCCCAGACACTTAGAATGAACAAAGCCACACTGTGGTATATGGATGGGGGTCACTCGAATACCTCATTGCCAGGTCTCCTCCCTCCTAGCACCTAGACCCAAACAGTTTAAAAAATGCACCATAGAGACAGACTGGGGGTGAAACACCGGTGTGGAGGGCTGATGTGAAGATGTGCAACATCTGGGGGTTCCCTGTCCATCCAGGTCCTGGACATCCTTATTGGGGTAGATCAGAACCCACACCCTGCATTAGCATGCTCGCTGGGAAAAGGGACTGTACCCCAACTCCACATCTGTTAGAAAAACAGGGAGCCCCCTTAGGATGGGGTAGCCTGAGCCCAGGATGCAGCTAGATGACAGAGACCTAGGCTCATCTGCAGACACTCTTGAACGGGCCCCCTCCCCACCGCAGCCCTCCATTCACTTGTAAATTGGAGATCCCCACTTCAAATTCCAGCGGTGTCTCAGCTAAAACACCGGGGTACCCAGTCCCAAGATTCCCTGGGTTATGTCCAGGATGCCCTTGTCTTTCTTCCAAACTCGGGGTGCCCTCCCCTAGCCCTAGCTCCCGGCGCCTCCTGCTTGATCCAGAGAACTATCCGCGGCCAGCTCCCCACCGGGAAGGGGGATATCTTTTCATTCAAGACTCCCTTCCGTTCCCAACACCCCTAAGACCGCCCCTCATGTGCTTGGCCCCCCAAACTCTGATCCCCTCCCCCACCTCCCCCTGCCCAGCCCCATCCGGGAGGGGGGCTTTGCCTTCTCCTGGCCAGTCCTCCCCAAGTCCGAAACCTTGTTGCCCCCCTCTCTGCGGGCCCCCCACACCTGGCTCCTCAGCGCGGACACATCCCCACGGCCCCGGGCACAAAGGACGCGCGGCCGGCGCCCGGTGCTTCTCCAGCCCCTGCGCCGGGTGCTCAGCGAGCCAGGCTCAGCCTCCTCGCTTATAAAGGACCACGGGGATGCTGTGCGCATGCGCAGCCCACCCCCAGCGCGGGGCGGGGCGGGGGGTGGGATGGAGGTCGGGGGTGGCGTCCAGCCTGAGGTTCCTTTCACGTCTCTCTGACACAGCCCAGGGGCAGGCTACGCCAGACTCCGCCCCACTCCTTGTTGCCCCCTTAGGAACCCTACTAAATGCCCCCCCCCCCCCCCCCCCCCCCCCGCCTCATGAGGCCACCTCCTCCAATTTACAGGTGGGGAAACAGCCTCGGGGAGGTAAGAGTGTTTGCTAAGGTCACGCAGAGGGAAAGGGCAGGGCAGAGATTCGAACCGACTGTCCAAGGCTCCAAGGACAGTTCCTAGAACAGAAATGGGCTGGAGGAGTCCCTGGGTCACACAGGGGCAAACAGTCACGGGGGATAAGGCAATAATCTCTCCTCGGCAGTTTCTGCCAAACCCCAGGCTGTGAGTTCGATCCTTGGGACCTGCAGGGTGGAAGGAGAGAGGTGACTGCACTTTGTCTCTGACCTGCACCCACACAGAAGAAAGACACGTACATCATCGGGGACAGAGGCGGACCAGTGAGCCGCAGAACACTCACTCACCGTCACTAATTCACCATCACTCACTCACCATCACTAATTCACCATCACTCACTCACCATCACTCACTCACTGTCACTAATTCACCGTCACTCACTCACCCATCACTCACTCACCATCACTCACTCACCATCACTCACTCACCATCACACTCACTCACCCATCACTCACTCACCATCACTCAC